GGTGTTTTGATGGTTATTTTTCTTATTATTTTGTACTAAAAATAGTCAGCCATTTTGTAACTTGCGATCTATGCACATATAACGTTACAATATGGAGTCCAACAAAGTTAACAGTTCCTTGAACCTTGAGACATGCCTAATTAGTTCACTGGGTTGGACTGTACCATTGCTGTGGGTACTGCCCTAATTAATCCCCTACTTCAGTGTCTGACAACTGGCTGTCTAACTAATGGGAGATAACCCAAGACATACTTTATTCGGTTTTATGGTCTATGCGGTCTTAAAATTGATTTTATTAGTCTTTAAATCTTATATCTAGTGCATATTTTCACAAACAGGGCCGTTATCTGGTATGAGGAAAGTAGCCTTGTTGATTGTTACTATTCTTTGAGGATTTCTGTGACCAGTGGCGGACGTAATTCAAACTCCTTCAACACTGACACCGCATCAAAGATATTTGTGTACCGATTACATAACTTTCACTGAGAGGGTGGTAGTTCACGCGAAACGGACGACGCTGTGTCTATTGGGCTGCGCCTTTGATATCGCCTCCAAACATACTCTTATTGAATGACCCATTAAACGCGGAGAAAATACAAGATTCATTCTCGTTGAACATATCAAGGCACCAATTCATCTCCCATAAACTTTTTGTGTCTTTGTGCTTAATATATCCACATATTAGCGAAAATATGTAATACATGTATCGACAATGTATATATATATATATATATATATATATATATATATATATATATATATATATATATAAAGATCGTTACAATATATACAAAAGGTAAAATTTGTAAAACATCTACAAAGGAAACATCCAACCAAAAGACCCTTTTTAAATAGTAATGGAATGATATAATATAAAGTATATTTCACATGATACAATATACTTTTCACACAATTAGTTAAGCTGTAAATGGACTGACGAAAACATGGTCGAAATATTTTAATAACGCCACAAAATAGTTGAATTAAGTTCAAATGAGTTGAATCATGTGTCACGATTCTTGTAGACAAACATTTATGTATCTACCAAAGAAACAACATGAGTTTTGAGCAAAGGAAAAATATACATATTGTTAAAGATTACATTACGCATCTTCCAGAGGCAAGGGTGTTAACTGACTATGAAAGTCCAGTTTCCACCCTTACAGAACTATGCTGGAATTATGGAGTTATATTTTGGCTGGACTAACGAGGTAATGCAAAGTCCAAACTTACGACTGTCGTAACGCTACGATCGTCTTGTGGAACGGGGCCCCATGTGTGGTGGAACATACCATGCCAATTTGTTTTGTCTATTGTATGGGTAAATGCATGTGGGCTATCAGTACGTATGTATTGGCACACCTTCTATCAATTATCCTCGACTTTTAATGGAGAAGAAATATGAATATGAATGCTGCGTGCAATGTTTTGTTGACATTTTAAACCCGTGAATACATATTTAGGTGAGCTACAGTACCGTGACGCCCTGTTTCTTTAGTACTGTTACAAGACAAGTTTAACCTGAACATGCGAGAGTGGTTCGAGTTGTTGCTCACATAAATCATGATAAATTTCTGGACCGTTTACAAAGTGTTATTTTGTAATCAATTGTTTTATCGCCTGAAACTTCATTCCATATGTAGGGCAAATCCCGGCAATGACCTAGAATTTCTTGTCCGATTAAGAATATTACTGTCGTATGTGAAAGAGGTCAGCTACGCAGCCTTTTGTGAATATTTGATGAGTAGGTGGTAGTTTGTTTCCAACTCAAGTATCGATTACCCCCGACTCAATCTACCAGCAGTTATACCTTGTTTATTAACCATTCTTCTTCCATGATTCCCATCAGCGGTCCAGTGCTGTCAAAGACAATAATTCCACACTTGAAGAACAGTAATGTTGCCAGTACTCAATATATACTGAGTCAAATTAAAAACTTCACATTTTTAAAAGTAATCCCATATATGATATACAACGGACAACAGAGAAGGTAATTTTTAATCATTAATGTCCAAAGAAGGATTTTAATTAACGGTGGTAACCATAATTTGTTCCAAGCACCTACGGTATTCGGTAATAACATCAACAGTTAAAAGCATAAATCCCAAAGACGAGAATCTGATGGCACACAAGTTTAGTAGCGTGTATGACCACCAACGCCTCCACATGGACCCTGTGATGCTTGTGAACACATGATTGGGAAGACGACGCCATTGGTGCTGCAAAATGGTGCCAAGATCTTGCAAATTCTGTGGTTGGTTCTGGAGTGTGCGCAGACTTCTGCCAAGAGCATCCCAGACGTGTTCGATGGGATTGAGGTCGGGAGACCTTGACGGCCAGTCCATGACGTTGACTCCCGCTATCTGAAGGAAATTCTTTGTCAAAATTGCTGTGTGGGGTCTGGCATTGTCGTGTTGGAAGATCAAACCGGGTCCATGTGCTGCCATAAAAGGCAGAAGTTCTGGTGCCAGTACCTGGTCGCGGTAAGCAGCAGCGTTGAGGTTTCCACGGATGACAAGAAGCCTGGAACGTGCATTGCCACAGAAAGCACCCCACACCATGACACTTCCGCCTCGAAATCTGTCAACTTCCTGTACACAACACTGGGCGTAACGTTCATGACGGCGCCTCCACACCCTCGCCCTACCATCAGCAAATCGAAGATTAAATCGGGATTCATCACTGAAGACGACTTGATTCCAATTCCTCTGAGTCCATTGTAAGTGTCGCTGTGCCCACAATTGACGTTGACGTCTGTGTAATTGAGTCAGAATCGGCCCGCAGTATGGCCGTCGTGCATGAAGGTGAGCAGTTCTCAGACGGTTTCGAACAATTTGCGCACTCAGTCTACCCCTAAACAGTTCATTTCTGGTTGATGTAGCCGTCAAAAATCGGTTACGGAGGTGACGTAAGACAATCTGACGATCCTCTGCATGTGACGTCACACGTGGTCGACCTGGCCGAGGGCGATCAGCCGTGGTACCCGTTTGCTGTAGACGCGTCTGTAAATCATAAACAGTCCATCGACTACAACCCATCGTCCTTGCGACTTCAGCTACGGACGTTCCCGTCTGCAACATGTCGATGGCACGTTCACGTTGCACATTTGAAAGGCTTGGCATGACAAATGGCCGTAAAGACTTTTGTTTTCTTGTGTGTGTGTTTTTTTTTTAATGACTGCTAACAAGTATGGCTGAAAACACGTGCGGTATTATGGCCACGTGACCAGTTGCACGTGAAAAACCACTTTTGCCACTATAGTGCTGTGCACATGATTTTGATCGATTCACCTGCACAAAAACGGCTGTTATTTGAAGACAATACGTGGCCATTACTGTTTAAATACACAATAAGGGCCCACAATGATAACTGCTCAAAATGTTAAAATTTTAGGATTGTGAAGTTTTTAATTTGGTTCAGTATATTTCGTTGTAACAATCTCGTTTTCTATTTGTCGGTAATTTCAGTAATTTGGCTTGTCACACGGAAAACCCGAGTTCGGTTCCCCACATGAGTACATGTGCCATATGTGAAGCACACCCTTGATGTATCATATTAGAATTATTTGTTATGGATAACGTTGTGTGTGCAAAACCATATGTGTCCTTGCAGGTGCTTGCCGGGGCTTGTCAAGATCACAAGTGTAACAGAAGACAAGTGTGTACTCCACGACGCCACAGTGGCTACAGATGCATCAAAGGTAAGGTGATGAATTCACCCCCATGGGAATGTCGGGGCAGGATATGGCCTCGTGACTACATGCCGTCTTGATGTAGCTGTAATATTGCTGGCTACATGCATCCTTGATGTAGCTGTTATATTGCTGGCTACATGCATCCTTGATGCAGCTGTTATATTGCTGACTATATGCCACCTTCATGTAGAGGTAATATTGCTGACTTCAGGCTGGCTTGATGTAGCTGTAATAATGCTGGCTACATGTATCCTTGATGCAGCTGTTATATTGCTGACTATATGCCACCTTCATGTAGAGGTAATATTGCTGACTACAGGCTGGCTTGATGTAGCTGTAATATTGCTGACTACATGCATCCTTGATGTAGCTGTAATATTGCTGACTACAGGCCGCCTTGATGTAGCTGTAATATTGCTGACTACAGGCTGGCTTGGTGAAGCTGTAATATTGCTGACTACAGGCTGGCTTGATGTAGCTGTAATAATGCTGACTACAGGCCGCCTTGATGTAGCTGTAATATTGCTGACTACAGGCTGGCTTGGTGAAGCTGTAATATTGCTGACTACAGGCTGGCTTGGTTTAGCTGTAATATTGCTGACTAGAGGCCGCCTATATATAGCTGTAATATTGCTGACTACAGGCCGCCATGATGTAGCTGTAATATTGCTGACTACAGGCTGGCTTGGTGTAGCTGTAATATTGCTGACTACAGGCTGGCTTGATGTAGCTGTAATATTGCTGACTACAGGCCGCCTATATATAGCTGTAATGTTGCTGACTACAGGCTTGCTTGATGTAGCTGTAATATTGCTGACTACAGGCTTGCTTGATGTAGCTGTAATAGTGCTGACTACAGGCCGCCTTGATGTAGCTGTAATATTGCTGACTACAGGCCGCCTATATATAGCTGTAATAGTGCTGACTATGTACAGGCTGCCGTCTTCGGTGTGTAATATAGCTGGGGAGTAAGATACCATTTACTCACTCAAACATGACATATACATCGTCTACCCTTGGTCTCTTCAATGAATAATTGAACAAAAACCCAGTAAAACCATGGTTTCAGTAATACTTCGGTAAACTTCTCATAATTTTCATTTTTGTTGGTCTTTAGATTAAAACCCAAGGGATAAATTTATTGCAAGGACGCCTTTAAGCTGGACACATGAATCATCGAGACCTGACAGCGACACCTATTGTTCTGGAAGAAATTCTTTCTATGAGATTCGATGGAAAAACATCGACTCCACGCAGTAACAGCGGTAGAGTGAGTGAGTTTGTTTTGCTGAACCACGCCGAAACGTTTTAAGAAATAATTAGATTTTATTCTTCTCTGATTCGGAAGATTTCATACACAAATATACAGTATGGTTGGTACTGGTGACGTGAGACACAATAACTTTAACACACATACAACATTTTCTATAATATTGTTTTACGCTGAGAGAACAGAATAATTGATGACTGCTATATAAATAAAGAAACATGTTTCAATATTCTCGTCTTTTTATCCCGCGTCACGAAGTGGAGCGGGGGGTGTCAATGGTTCCCGGGTTCGATTCCCCGCATGGGTACAATGTGTAAAGCCTATTTCTTCTGTCCACCGTCCAGATCTTGCTGGAATATTGCTAAAAGTGGCGTAAAACTATACTCACTCACTCCTGACCTTCAACGGGGTCTCGCTCTCGGATCAAGAACACACAAGTCAGGAGCCAAGTGTCACGTGACATATCGATGCATTTGTACAGTAATGTGCAATGAGATTAAACTTGTACTCGTAATTACGCATTCGTTTTACATCGCCTGTCAATCTGACCCCCTGTCAGATGACTCGCCAAATAATTACCGACTTCTGCAAATATGAACTAGTAGATGAACTGGCAGAATAGGAACTAATGGCACAGCCGAAATAACCATTTGAACCAGAAAACAGCATTATGACTATCCCCCGCCACGGGGCACATTAGAATTATATTTGTTTATTGTAGAGAATAATATGGAAGTTAACTATAAAAAAGGTGCAGACAGTAAAATAACATGTATCAAGGGCCTGTAACTTGATAGGTATCTGTTAGATAAGCTTGCAAACTTTCATTCACGTAATAGTAGTCCCTTGTCCCTATTTCACGCATTTGAAAATTTGAAAGTTGGGCAGCTAAGGCCTTCACTGTAAAAATGAATTCAAGACACCAATTTCCTAACTCATTCGAGATCGTGACCAGTAGGATCCGTGTGTAAAATGTCTCTAACGTAAAGGCTCTATGTAAGCTCAATCCCATTAAAAATAGCGAAACATTACTTCTTTGATCGTAAAAAAACATATGCTAAAAGCAGAGTCCATTGTACGATTCCGACAATATCATCAGCATGTGTTTGTGAAAAACTCGGAAACAGGAATCAAGTCAAAATAGGGAATTGCATCGGACATCGTGTGTCATTGATGCGTCATATCTGGATATGTCCTCCATATCACCATCTGAAAACATTTTGAAAGCTTTGCTGAGGCATTTAATGATATAACCTTCAATTATTAAACCTTCGCCAAACAACGTTTGAGCAAGAGTCGTTTGACGCTCTTTGAAATCTTCGCAGAAAGAGCATGCTCGGGTACCTCAGAAGTCTCAACACCAAGGGCTGTAGCTGCTGCAACATTGCTGGACTTGAAGGAAACGTTGACTATTGGAAAGTTGAAGTCATCCCTCTTGTCTTGTGGAGAATGTTTAGTCACCCTGAATCTTTGTGCATATATCTAAATATGAGACAGATGAGGCGGTTTCATTGGTTCTAGTTCAGTTGGTGGCCATGGTATGCCTACATTATGCCTGAATGTCACCCCCAAAATATTACCAAGACGAAAGGACAGCATTTCATATATTGCCCTCTCAGTGAACTTCAGATAGCATTTGCTTTCATTTCTGACAAATTAACGATAGACATGTAACTGTACACCCCCACGGTTAGTAGCAAATGCCCCATGGATCCATGGATGAAGTTTATTCTCTTTTTCTGTGTTGTGTTGGATGGTGGTGTACAAGGTTGAACCATCAAATGTTTTGACAGAATTGAACTTCGTTCTCTGAAATTGCATACACTCAAGCAATTATTGTTAATATCGGAGAGAGGGTGCGTGCGTGCGTGCGTGGCTGGGTGTGCATGGCTGCTTCTCCTAGTTCTGACTAACGCCGGTTTTATAGTGCTAACCCTCTAGGACACCATGCCGCACTTTAACATGAATACCCCTCTCAGACACATTATACTGAAGCCGTTCAGTCCTTGTTTTATCCCTTTAATGCCAAGCCCCAAGTCGGGTAACAACAAGTACTATCTTTAAACGAATGACAAGTCCGCCCTCCAAACATCAACATTCCGCTCTCCGGGCAGACGCTGGAACTACGAGCCTTGACGCCTTGACTTCTATACCAAATCTAAGGCAGAATGAGCAACAAACACTTACTTTTTATGCAAATAGTGTGAGTGGCGGATATGTTTTCCCTTTTTGCACCTGGTGTCATCACTGATTTCCAGTGATCCATTCATATAATTGTCACCGCTGGGTTTTTTTTACGCCCAATGAAATCTGTTTCGTCGGATAATCGAGACTGGGGATTCTTTTGGCGTTGACATTTATAGTTTACCGATCGTCACAATGTCCATCATTTCCACATGTCACATGTCCTCATGCCATCATATAATTCTGGTCCCATATATACTACACATGCAGTTTCAGCATTCTGCATTCAACAACATCTGAAAAAATGACATTGGCACGCTATGGCATGTTGTGACATTTTCTGACTTTAGGATGCATGGATCACCTGTATAGTCGGCGAGATAGAGGAAGCTATCAACAGAAGCCATGTCGACTGTGCCAAGGACGTTCAAGCACAAACCAAAGTACGCATCTTCAAACTTCAAGAAGGGCACATGGGGAGATATGAAAACCACTTGTCTTGCTACCGCCATGCTAGTCACATAGCCACTCCCCGAGCAGTATCGAGGGTAATAACTATAGGGATACTCTTCCAGAGACACATAAAACTTGGACAGTTTATCCCTTATCACTGTATGCCAATATCCACATGAACCAAGAACTCCTGACTGTAGAAAATCCCAATGATAATTGGTTAGCTTCAATAGCTGGGGCACATTGATCCACATATCGTCATCTGTTTTGAAGACAAATTTAGCATTTTGACAATATAACGTGGCCCATTGAAAACCCATGATTGTCTTGTACGTCAGGTTGGTATATGAGTCTCTGAAGTCCTCCATCAGCATGTCCCCATGATACATTGCCTCGGTCAACACGGCGCCCATTAAGTCCAGCTGAGGAACTTCGCCTAGCAGGAACACATAGCGTACACGTCCCGTATTGTTCCTGGAGATTGAAGCCCACGTAGAACGTATGGCATTCCTCCTGTAGGTATTGCCATGTGCTGTCAGGATGAGCATGAGAAGATCAACTGAACCAGGACTGGTCTCCCTGCATATTTCCTCATTCTGTATGAGATAGTTGAAGTCGTGTCTGAAGCAGTTGTTACACAAGTAAGGTCGAACACGGGACGGTGCCTCGGACATGGGTTCTTGTCTGGATTCGTTCAAGATGTCTTGGTACAAATGTTCAGATGTGTCATCATGATTTGTTTGCTGAACAGATGATTCGGGGTAAATGTCATGAAGTTTGTCACTTTGAAAAATAAATTTATTGATGGTCGTCGGGGGTATATTTAACATGGGATTAACCGTTATTATATTTTCCAGCGTCAGAACTGTATGAAGTAAGTTTAGCAGTCCGACAACCGTCAAAAACAGTATCCCAAACTTCAGCTTCGTCTGTGTCCGCATCTTGGGAGACTCACCTTCTGCTCTCACTGAAGTTCAATAAAAAAAAACCTGCTCAGGGCATATCCTCACGCATTCCATTTACATCTGCCCTCCACCGCCTGAAGAAAGACCCTGATATCCACCTTCTTCCTCCCACATATACCTTCCGTCATCCCACATATACACGTATCTTCCGTCGTCCCACAATACCCTTCATTGTTTCGCATATACCCGTCATTGTTTCCACATATACCCTTCATTGTTTCCACATATACCCTTCATTGTTTCCACATTTACCCTTCATCGTTCCGCATATACCCGTCATTGTTTCCACTTATACCCTTCTTTGTTTCCACATATACTCGTCATTGTTTCCACATATACCCTTCATCGTTCCGAATATACCCGTCATTGTTTCCACTTATACCCTTCTTTGTTTCCACATATATCCTTCATTGTTTCAACATATACCCTTCATTGTTCCGAATATACCCTTCATTGTTTCCACATATACCCTTCATTGTTTCCACATATACCCTTCATTGTTTCCACATATACCCTTCATTGTTTCCACATATACCCTTCATTGTTTCCACATATACCCGTCATTGTTTCCACATTTACCCTTCATCGTTCCGCATATACCCGTCATTGTTTCCACTTATACCCTTCTTTGTTTCCACATATACCCGTCATTGTTTCCACATATACCCTTCATCGTTCCGAATATACCCGTCATTGTTTCCACTTATACCCTTCTTTGTTTCCACATATATCCTTCATTGTTTCAACATATACCCATCATTGTTCCGAATATACCCTTCATTGTTTCCACATATACCCTTCATTGTTCCACATATACCCTTCATTGTTTCCACATATACCCTTCATTGTTTCCACATATACCCTTCATTGTTTCCACATATACCCGTCACTGTTTCCAAATACACCCTTCATTGTTTCCACGTATACCCTTCATTGATTACACATATACCCTTCATCGTTCCGAATATACCCATCATTGTTTCCACTTATTCCCTTCTTTGTTTTCACATATACCCGTCATTGTTTCCACATATACCCGTCATTGTTTCCAAATACACCCTTCATGGTTTCCAAATACACCCTTCACTGTTTCCACGTATACCCTTCATTGTTTACACATATACATATACCCTTCATTGTTAACACATATACCCTTCATTGTTTCCACATATACCCGTCATTGTTTCCACATATACCCGTCATTGTTTCCACATATACCCTTCACTGTTTCCACATATACCCTTCATTGTTTCCACATATACCCTTCATTGTTTCCACATATACCCGTCATTGTTTCCACATATACCCTTCACTGTTTCCACATATACCCGTCATTGTTTCCACATATACCCTTCATTGTTTCCACATATACCCGTCATTATTTCCACATATACCCGTCATTGTTTCCACATATACCCTTCATTGTTTCCACATATACCCTTCTGTTTCCACGTATACCCGTCATTGTTTCCACATACATCCTTCATTGTTTCCACATATACCCTTCATCGTTCCGAATATACCCTTGATTGTTTCCACGTATACCCTTCATTGTTTCCACGTATACCCTTCATTGTTTCCACATATACCCTTCATCGTTCCGAATATACCCTTCATTGTTTCAACATATACCCTTCATTGTTTCCACATATACCCTTCATTGTTTCCACATATATCCTACATTGTTTCCACATATACCTTCATTGTTTCCACATACACCCTTCATCGTTCCGAATATACCCTTCATTGTTTCCACATATACCCTTCATTGTTTCCACATATACCCTTCATTGTTTCCACATATACCCTTCATTGTTTCCACATATATCCTACATTGTTTCCACATATACCTTCATTGTTTCCACAATACCCTTCATTGTTTCAACATATACCCTTCATTGTTTCCACATATATCCTACATTGTTTCCACATATACCTTCATTGTTTCCACATATACCCTTCATTGTTTCCACATATATCCTACATTGTTTCCACATATACCCTTCATTGTTTCCACAATACCCTTCATCGTTCCGAATATACCCTTCATTGTTTCCACATATACCTTCATTGTTTCCACATATACCCTTCATCGTTCCGAATATACCCTTCATTGTTTCAACATATACCCTTCATTGTTTCAACATATACCCTTCATCGTTCCGAATATACCCTTTATTGTTTCAACATATACCCTTCATTGTTTCCACATATACCCTTCATTGTTTCCACATATACCCTTCATTGTTTCCACATATATCCTACATTGTTTCCACATATACCTTCATTGTTTCCACATACACCCTTCATTGTTTCCACATATACCCTTCATTGTTTCCACATATACCCTTCATTGTTTCAACATACACCCTTCATTGTTTCCACATATACCCGTCATTGTTTCCACATATACCCTTCATTGTTTCCACATATACCCGTCATTATTTCCACATATACCCGTCATTGTTCCCACATATACCCTTCATTGTTTCCACATATACCCTTCTGTTTCCACATATACCTTCATTGTTTCCACATACATCCTTCATTGTTTCCACATATACCCTTCATCGTTCCGAATATACCCTTGATTGTTTCCACGTATACCCTTCATTGTTTCCACGTATACCCTTCATTGTTTCCACATATACCCTTCATCGTTCCGAATATACCCTTCATTGTTTCAACATATACCCTTCATTGTTTCCACATATACCCTTCATTGTTTCCACATATACCCTTCATTGTTTCCACATATATCCTACATTGTTTCCACATACACCCTTCATCGTTCCGAATATACCCTTCATTGTTTCCACATATACCCTTCATCGTTCCGAATATACCCTTCATTGTTTCAACATATACCCTTCATTGTTTCCACATATACCCTTCATTGTTTCCACATATACCCTTCATTGTTTCCACATACACCCTTCATCGTTCCGAATATACCCTTCATTGTTTCCACATATACCCTTCATCGTTCCGAATATACCCTTCATTGTTTCAACATATACCCTTCATTGTTTCCACATATACCCTTCATTGTTTCCACATATACCCTTCATTGTTTCCACATATATCCTACATTGTTTCCACATACACCCTTCATCGTTCCGAATATACCCTTCATTGTTTCCACATATACCCTTCATCGTTCCGAATATACCCTTCATTGTTTCAACATATACCCTTCATTGTTTCCACATATATCCTACATTGTTTCCACATATACCTTCATTGTTTCCACATACACCCTTCATCGTTCCGAATATACCCTTCATTGTTTCCACATATACCCTTCATCGTTCCGAATATACCCTTCATTGTTTCAACATATACCCTTCATTGTTTCCACATATACCCTTCATTGTTTCCACATATACCCTTCATTGTTTCAACATATACCCTTCATTGTTTCAACATATACCCTTCATTGTTTCCACATATACCCTTCATTGTTTCCACATATACCCTTCATTGTTTCCACATATATCCTACATTGTTTCCACATATACCTTCATTGTTTCCACATACACCCTTCATTGTTTCCACATATACCCTTCATTGTTTCCACATATACCCTTCATTGTTTCCACATACACCCTTCATTGTTTCTACATATACTCATGATATATAATATAAATGTTACACTCCATATTACGTATTGTCAAAACCCTTTCACATTTATGTTACTGCATGTACATTCGAACGGTATTCACTTAAGCCACGTTTTCACTGTATGACGGTAAAGCGCTAGCTTCAACGAAAATATCTTTTCAAAACCGATAGTACTTACATGACTGTGTGTTATACACCCCGTGGCCATCAATGACACAGACGTCCGGGCTGTTTATCAGACAAGATATCCTTCAGCTTTATGCCGAAGGTGTTCCAGCTAGTAAGTGCGGCAGGTCAACAGCCATGTCCAAGCCATTCAGCCTTTATTTTGTACACACTGTGTAACCCCAACGTTGACGTTTGTTCAGGCCACACCAAAGTGACAACATAAATTTGTTTTTCGGCTCTCGTCGTTCTGAGCAATCGGAGAACGCAACTGTTTCGTTTTTAAAATTGCAATGGTTTAGTATTCTGACAGAGTTGCCCCTTGTTCCCTGCAAATGTTCAATGGATCATTAACTGACGAGTTATTCAAAGGTAAATGTAAATTGTTTAGTCCTCTCACCTGTTGATCAGTTTGTTTATTGTGGGCCTTTGTATATTATTGATTATTTGTGGCAAGGAATATCATTCAGAACCTAATTGTAGTAACTTGTTCATGTTCGGAAAATCATGAAATAAATATGTTTTATGTGTTTACGTTTATCACTGTACATTATGTCTCTATTTATGTCATGTTTTATTGATATATGTCTCTCATAAATCACTGATTGGTCTGGATGTTTTACAACCCATCATAATGTATACGATACGTTATTGTGTATCTATTGCATCCATGGGTGAGACGAAACTAAACTTACCTCATAAGGAGATTACGACAATTTATTTGTTGTTGCCTTACCCTAGCGTTCAACTCAAACGCTCTACCGACAGAACCAGAATGGACTATATATATCCTTCAGGATTAAGTTAGATGCATTGTCAATAGTCTTTCTTTCATAGGCCGTCGTTATTGAAGTATATTCCGCGTATATATTGTGAACCGTCTGGGTCAGATTTTGTTGAAAAGTGCATGTGGCTGATTATAAAGGAGCGGATACAGGCTTTTCAGCACCAAGCAATCACTTGCTCCGTTTGGCTTTCTTGCATGACTGGTTGTACCGTACTTGTTATGGGCAGGTCGTATACATACCAAAAGCTCTCACAGTTGCAACACTTCTTTTGATGTCTGTACTTATACCGGTATCGCAGTTGCCACTAGCCTGTGTATTCAACCCCGTGAACCTCCGGGGTAGAATGGGTCTTCGGCAACCCGTGCTTGCCACAACAGGCGACTATGCTTGTCGTAAGAGGCGACTAACGGGATCGGGTGGTCAGGCTCGCTGACTTGGTTGCTGCATGTCATCGTATCCCAATTGCGTGGATCGCTGTTCATGAGGTCAATCACTGGATTGTCTGGTCCCGGACTCGATCATTTACAGACCGCCGTCATATAGCTGAAATATTGCTGAGTGCGGCGTTACACAACAAACAAAATAAAACATTTTCCATTAACGTTTGGATTAGTTATATATTATATCTATGCAAGGCAACAAAACATGAATATTTCGACTTTATTTTACATACATATGTATTTAGATATGTTGCGTCTAATTTAATTTTAAAATGGTATTTTCATTATTTCTGCATAATACAGTCATTTCAAACATGTGTTAAGCCGATCCCTTCGACTCATCGATGGAGTGTTCATCGTTATGTTACACATATGTGCGTGTTTTACTGTCGTGTTTTGTTTTTGCGATTTCGCATTACATCATATTCGAGCGCTGTTTCATCCATTTGGAATTGCACTCCGTACACTCATACAGCGAAAGGACCATATGTTATATTATGTCCAATTTATGCCACAATGATTCAGGATCCATTGTTGGTTACAATATGTCCGTAATACCAGATGATGTACAAGGTCCACTTGCACAAAGCCATCTTAGCGTTACAATAATCGCACTAACATAAGTTTGTGCAAGTGGAATAGGACAATTGTATGGTGATTGTAAAGTTGATTGTAGGCGCCTAAGATCAATTATAATTAAGATTTTTCTGTGCAAGTGGGCTCTGTGGCTGTTAAGCGAAGCTCATGCATATTCCAATTGTTTACTGAATCAGGTCGTGTGTTGTGTGGGTTGGTTGTGTACAGGGTGATACATGTCTGCTTTATTCAGCGAGCTGATCCCTCATCTAATGGATTCTCTAGAAATCCTCTGATTGAAACAGCAGGTTTGACGGCCGCATCTCCGCGGAAGCTAATATTCGTAGAATAGTACTATTTTCAGTCATTGTCGGTGTCTGCTTTATTCAGCGAGCTGATCCCTCATCTAATGGATTCTCTAGAAATCCTCTGATTGAAACAGCAGGTTTGACGGCCGCATCTCCGCGGAAGCTAATATTCGTAGAATAGTACTATTTTCAGTCATTGTCGGTGTCTGCTTTATTCAGCGAGCTGATCCCTCATCTAATGGATTCTCTAGAAATCCTCTGATTGAAACAGCAGGTTTGACGGCCGCATCTCCGCGGAAGCTAATATTCGTAGAATAGTACTATTTTCAGTCATTGTCGGTGTCTGCTTTATGCAGCGAGCTGATCCCTCATCTAATGGATTCTCTAGAAATCCTCTGATTGAAACAGCAGGTTTGACGGCCGCATCTCCGCGGAAGCTAATATTCGTAGAATAGTACTATTTTCAGTCATTGTCGGTAGGCATATTTATATGATTATATCTATAATTACAGGTTACAAAATGCACAAGTGGTGTTATGCCGAGTAACCACTGCGCCGATGTGTGCTCTTAATATTTATGCATGACCCCTAGGTCAAACTCCAAAACGGGGTTTTCTACGCATGGCGGCAGAGCAAACATCGGACTGGTTCCCGTCGAACAGGCTCATTTGCATTTAACGTGACCAGACTTTTCTCTTGTTTGTAAACAAACGCGCTTTTTCAGAAATCAGTATAGAACGGACTAATGCAAGTATTTGGTGCCGCTTTACATAATGTTTTGCATAATTATATAGATATGCTACTACAACTGCGACATTGAGTTGCATGACAATATATATAGAATACTAAACGAGCTCCCGTGTAATACCAATTTTATGAAACGAGTGAATAGTTCTGGTATCTGACGAGCGAAAGCGAGTCAGATACCACAACTATTCACGAGTTTCATAAAATTGGTTTTACACGAGAGCGAGTTTAGTATTTTATTTATTACTTGTCATTTATAATGTTTTTAGAATTATACTGTTGAGTGTAAATAGGCTGACACCTACACGGTTGAGTTTAACAGAATAATACTTCAAACACGTCAAAAGTTGAAACGTATGAATTTAATATCATACAATGGTCCACCTTTAGAATTCAGGCGTTCGTCCCACAAAATTATCGTAGTGCTAAGGCTATCACAACTCACATAATTTAACTTAGACTAAAGACTCTCGTTGCGCTAGAGTACGATCGCCTTGTAGCACGGGTTGCAAGCGGTACCTTTGATCCTACCCGTGCTGTATCATGGTAGTAAGAGCACGGTTTGTTAAAGATTATTACCATTGGCTGATGCCAAGATCAGCAAGCCCCGCCTACTGGCTTGAGAAATTTCAAACTTACGACAATGTTTCTTCAGTGTTGTACAGTGTTCAAGAGTAATAACGTAAATAAACCAAAAAACAATAGAAATGTTTATAACTTTATTAAAAGATTACAATGTAACTGTCAAACAAAAAAACAACTGGACACAGAACGCATTTTGCTAAATTCGGAAAATTAATAGTTGAAATTTCTAATGTGCCTTTGAAAATTCCAAAGGTTACACTTGATTTAACAATTAGATTAAAAGTTAAAAACGTTTCGAAGGCAGAAAGCATGTAACGTCATATTTAACGTCATATTATACGTCACTAAATTTTACACAAACTCGCGCAATTTTGGAATGACCGTCGCAACCCGTGCTACAAGTCACTTACAACACACCCACCTACTCGTTGTTTGGGCCGTAAGAGCACGGATTGGCATGGCATTTGATTGACAGACAAAAGGATCACCTCGGGGCTCCGCCCCTCGGTCCTTTTGTCTGTCATTCAAATGCCATGCCAAACCGTGCTCTTACGGCCCAAACAACTCGCCTTGGTGTGTTGTAACTATAACTTGTGGAACGGGGCCTTGCAGCTCAAAGTTTACAATGACTTCACAATACCCGATGACGTAATTTGTTGAATTTTGTTGCAAGATCCATCGGCGAAACAATGCCATGTGACGTCAGCCTAGCAACAAGGTTGCTGGGGTCATCGAGTGTGCATAAGCTCCTCCCAGTGATCTATCATCTCCACACACAATGTCGTTGAATACGCCAAGGGATGTTGAGAGCTTTCAATATTTGTTCGTGAAACGTGTTCCGAGAGTACATGAGCACGCGTTTTGGTATTACACAATGTGTAATAAAGCTGTATGTTTATTAAACGGGTGATCTCTTCACGGGCAAGTAATAAAGGCCTTTATTACTCATCCTTGAAGAGATCACCCGTTTAATAAACATACAGCGGTATTACACATTGTTGATTGACAGGCCTAGTGATTCTTGCACTTCACAATCACTGCTCTGTGTTCCGACTTGCCAACCGTCTCTGCTCCATCCCAAACTTTCAATGTGACAGCTAGCCAGTCTCGCACACTCAGCTCTATCTTTGCCGGTACAATCACCAATTCTGTGATAAATGTAAATTTTCTAAACCATAGCAGTGACATGTCATCAGACATGAATCGCCAGTGATAGAAAGTTTGAAAACAGACTGTCATCGGGGGAATCCCTCTGCCTGCGGTCATGTGACGTTGTGACCTTGGCCTTGTCAACGAACGAATAAACTTGTTTTGTTATTGTTTTCGAAACATTACCGCAGTTTCGAAGTTTCGCAGGAAGTTCATTAGATTTAGAAGTAGATTTATTGTGGAAAAAAAGAGCGTTCGGGTGTTTTCTCCATTGGAATTGCTAAAATTTTGATATTATAGATGCACTTGACGATGACTATTTACATGACTTTGTATTCATACGCATGACCAGATTTGAACTCGGGATGCGACGTACGGAGTCAATCAGCTGATTTTTACGTAGGTACAAATGACGAGTAATAAATAAAATACTAAACTCGCTCCCGTGTAGTACCAATTTTATGAAACTCGTGAATAGTTGTGGTATCTGACTCGCTTTCGCTCGTCAGATACCAGAACTATTCACTCGTTTAATAAAATTGGTACTACACGGGAGCTCGTTTAGTATTCTATAAATATGTATGCATTAAAGTGACCGTATCCCGTGTGCGAAATACGCTGCAGTCGGAAAGCGCACGTTAAATCTTCTATATCAGTCAGTCAGTGACCGTATCGCTAGCTCCCCGTAGGGCTTCGATGATAGCACGTGGAGCCGTACAACCAATGTAAACAAAGGATAACTGAGCTAAAACAAGTAGATTTTCACGTATTAGCATACTTTCTTAATGAACCGTAACCATTCTTTGACATTTGTTTATGAAAATGTGTAGACTTGTCAAACATGAAACGGATGAAAAGCATATGCAATATCTTGAATGGACTGTGAAAGATGTGACGAGTCGCCAACATGGCGCTGAGATATCCGCAAGGTAGGAGAGTATATTAAAGAGGTTTCAGCATTTGATTAGCAAGCTCAAATCCGCAGTGATGTGTTATTTTGGGTTGGCCAAGTTCACGACTCGATGAAATGTGTGTTTATATCAGTGATCTGGGGGGCTAACAGGTTTGTTCGTCATCAGCAGCCAACCGAGAGATGTGAAAAAAGGTGTACGGGCAAGCCCTCACGGAACAAAACCCCCTTTGGATAAAAGACCACAATAAGCATGATTAGATCTAGTAAAGAAACAGAAGATGTAAGTTTTTTACATATTTTATTATTTTACTTCTTTACATAAAACCTGCACAAGTTAGCTTAACCCATTTTGTCATGGGTTTTTGTTTGTTCCCAGGGGTCATTTGTCGAAGGGGATTTTATTCTACAATCTCAAAAATAGTGTGGTCCATGTCAGCCAGTGGCCATAGACTGACAAATACACTCCGTGAAAAGCTCATCTGAGGAAAATGTGTGTAATACTTGTGTGTATCACGTTTTGGGTGGATATTTAAATGAACTTGATCAATGCATTACTCAAAATGATTTATTTTCAATGCCTTGATTTTGGGTATGGGAAAACAACATATTGACAGATCTTATGTGTTAAGAAACATATAAAAAGTGGACTGTTATGAAAAATATCAATTAAAAAAATTCTCAAAAATAATAAGGGCCTTTATATGTAACAACATATGTTATGTCAGCAAATGTATTCAATTATTGCCCATGGGACATCTGGTTATTGTGGTCACCCACTGGCCCAATACTGTATGTTTACAAATCACACGATCTGTTCATTATACACATCAAGACCTCAATCACAGGACCTTTTAGTCGAAATAAATATACATTCATGGACCAAAGCACCCTTCAGCACCCTTTGAGGAATGTGCATGAATTTCGCTGAAGTTTCTGGCTCAGTCAGCATTCAAAAGGATATTTTTGTTCAACACTGTTGGATTAATTACCAGGATTAAACTGTATTCAGGATTCCTTTCATATTTTTTACGTCAGATGCAAATCGACCCACGAAGATCCGGGGTAGAATAGGTCTTCCTTCCCCTATTCGCATATAATACAAGCTGCACTGGGTATTCACACATGCTGTTTTTATACATTTGAGTTTTTCCTTTAATTCATGCGTTCTGTATGCAAATTAATTGAAAGTAGTTGGGTTTTGAATATTTGGGGGGGGGGGGGGGGGGGGGGGGGGGATTTTATGCAAATATGTAGCTTATCTGTAGCTCTGATTATACCAAACTATTTGTTCCTTTTTGGTACAGATCTGTTTTGACAGTCACTTACCACCCCTGTATGTTTCAGCCTGGGAGGCAGCTGCAGCCATCAGCCCGGGCAGTATGAGTGGGGACGAGAGGAAAGGCTCTGGCACTTACTCTGTCTTTGTTGGCCGTCTACACAGGGAGGCAACAAAGGTACGTAACCATGGTAACTAATGATAGTGTTTCCTGGGGCTGTAACAAAGCACTTCTTGCAATACAAAACATATCTCTATAGTTAGGGCCACTTTAATACACATAAACTCAACATTTGAAGGTAAGACAATAATAAGCAGTGTCTTAAGTGTAGAAAGTACTACTAACCATGCTAACAGCTTCAGTAGCAGAGCCATTTGTGACGTCATGATAACCAATGAAGTCACAATGGTCTGCAAAGCAATTTCATTGCAGAGATATCTATAATGTAGATATCGCTTGATCTCACCCAAGCTATATCTCCTGCAATCATGACCTCTGTCCACAGGATCACTGATTCATTCCAGGCCCTAAAAGTAATTATTTAAACGTACAGATTCTTAAAATTAATTATTGGGGACCCCCTTTTTAGTAAGTCACGGTAAAACCCTGCTGACAGTACATCCTTGTTCAGAGATGTAAGTAAAAGCACCACGACTGTCTCTGACAACACAGCCATTGATAATATAAATCTACATACATAGCAAAAATTCAAAGGTAAATTTCCAAATCAGGACTTTATGCTCTATCTGGCCATTCTTTCAGCCTGTTTTTTTTGGTTGTATTCAGGTAGTTCAGATTTAGAGTTCAAACCATCAATATCAGATGGTGGTGCTGCCATTTTTGACATCACTCTACTCTTTAACTACTGTAGTGTTTCTGATCGGGGCTCAATTTAAGGAACTTGATTTAACTTGCACCAGGTACATGTTGACATGAAAACCAAGTTGAATCAAACAAAACCAGGTAGCATTCTGGTCCCATAAATTTACCAAAGTTGAAACATGGGCCAGTCTGCGGCCAGTGTCACAGACATAAATGACGCATTGGTGTCAAACGTGATAGTAACATGTGCACATAATCTTGAGGTACCCACGGTTTGAAGACATGATGCCTAAGAAAGGACGTTACACGAACACTGAGATTAGTGATGTTGTATGGTAAAATAAACTTTAGAGGTACTGAGTGATCAAGGATCAATTTTGTGTGGACATAGTCAATCAGACACAAATTTGATTTTTTTTACATGCACTTAGTACATGCAGACATGAATGTTAAGCTGCATATTACAACACCTGGTTGCACTTGTGCATGTTTTATATAGATAAATCGAGCCCTGCTCATTGATCACAATTGTTTGTCGCATGCATCAACTGGGCTTTTGTTGAATTTATTTCGGTCTGCATTAGAGTTCTGAATTCCATTATCTCATCCATGACATCCAAGATCGCCGATTTAACATCATTAAGAGCTTCCATTGCGATAGGCCTTGGATTAGATTCCACATCAGCTGATAACAACATTCTGCTCAGGATTACAGTAACTGAAAAGTGATCTGGTTTCCCTCCTGAAATGACTATTGTCAAAACACTCCCAGATTTTGCAACAGAATCCTGTGCTCTTCCACATATGTGAACAAAGTGAAACAGCTAACAAAACCCCACAAAAAACTAACTGACAAAGCATGTCAGAGCCCTCACTGTATAGCCTACCTGTCTCGTCCCACTTGGGTGGGTAAGACGCCAGATCCTTGCTCTATACATCACTTGATCAATCATGATGACCCTGTATTGTGTACACAATGGAGCTTGTATTGCACTGCATGAACAAAATTGAACATGTTGATGGCAGAGATGTGTTTGTAATACTTATGATCACAAATTCTTTCCCTCACGTAATCAAGGTGTTTTCTTCAACCATGTCAACAGGGCACACAACTCAATCACTTGTATTTCATCAGGTGATGAGAGAAGTGAACAGGGTGTTTCCGGATGTACAATATTTTATCCTATACCAGGGTATGAAACTCCCAAAAATTTCAGCCAGACCACAGGACTGGCTAGCTGAAATACTTGCCAGCCCTGACCAAAACCTGCCTGCCCACTATAATCATATGTTTCTCAGGATAAGCTGACGGGGTTTCTTTTTGGTTACATTTTATCATTCATCTTTACATGTGAATTAATGATTATCATCGGGAAATATTTAGAATATTGTCACATATGAAATATAACCCGACCGTCGGGCAGGGGGATTTGAAAATCTGGCAGCCCGAGTTGAAATCAACCCGTCTCGGACGGTTGGGCAGGCAGATATTTCGAACACTGCCTATACGCATACAATTGTCAGTGGATACAAATAATATACATAGCTTGTCCTCGGTGATGCAGAAAACTATGACTCAGACTAATGGGCGACTTATCCCCTGACAAACCAGTGCTCTGTGACGTCAGCCTAGATGCTCAGCGTCAACAGATATTTTCCAAATCTTTTCATGTTTTGAATCTAGGTGATCACATGATTTTGACTTCACGAAGTAAGACAAGTTTTATTACAATATTGACTTTGATTATCTATCAATGCAAGTGAGTTGAGAGGTGGAATCTGATTGGTCAATAGGAGGGACATAGAGGGGACTGGTCAGTAGGAGGGACATAGAGGGGACATACCTTACAATATCCACTAGTGGCGCTACGATTGAACCCAGAAATTCCAGGCTGGTTCGGCAAGGGTGGAAACTGGTTTTTTACGGTCAGTTAACTCCCTTACCTCAGGGAGATGGCAGTGTGCAGCCTCTAAAGGGTTGCTCCCCCATGTGAATATTAAGCATGGGAGTAAATGCACTTATCCATTATCCAAAAACTAAAGATATTCTGCAATCCCTCAACATTTTGTATCAGTTACTATCAGTTTTACCATAAAATAAACATATTGTGTAAAATATCGGTGCTACAGATTCCATCAATTAATGTGAAATGTACGTCGAGTAACTGGGTGTGCCAAGGGACAGGAAAGTCTACAGTGATCATGGTTATCATTGTTTAATATGGAGACAGATAGAGGGCACAGGTGGCCCAGTCATCTGAGTAGGGGTGACTATTGAGGCATTTTTGGCTATTGCGATAGTTAAAACAACTATTGCGATAGTGGCCTTACTATTGCGATAGTTTTTACTTGCAATTAAAGCAGGCTTTAGCAGCATATATTTCAGCATTTTGACTGACACCATCAAAATAATTATAACTTTCTGATACTATATGTAAAGAAAACAAGAAATGAAAAGAAAACAAGTTCAAATTGACATTTCAAAAACATGAAAAAAAAATTTCACTTCATGTAACTGGTAAAGTCTCAGGTTACTGCAGTGTTTTAGCACCAATGTGAATGAATGTGATTGAATGACTGGTATTTGACTATACAAACTCTTTAATTGTTTTTTAAGAAAGTAAATGTACCAAACAAATTAACAATCGAAACTATCGATAGTTAGACAAACTATTGCCAATAGTATCAATTGTTTCAAGTTGCAATTGATAGTGTACTATCGTGAGATAAGCAATCACAATCAATCGATAGTTTGATGTATCGTTACACATCTGAGGTGCCACAGAGTTGCGTCCCTTGGACACGCCATAAACTTATATTGTGGGTTCTATTCCGGGTTCATCCTGATTATAATTCTTGGTTTGTCAGTACCAAACCCGTGCTCGTGGGTTTCACCGAAGTGGTAAGCGTCTGAGACCTGCATCACTTCAGGCTTTCCTCCCACATTAAGCTGACGTGCCGTGATATAACTGGAATACTGTTAAAAGCGGCGTTAAACCCAACACACTCACTCACTCACCTGGCTTATGGACAGTAAGTTATTTCAAACAAACCCGACTGTCTCCAGTCTGTTTTATACAACTCGAGTATTGCTGGCCGCAGCCTAAAACAACATTCACTCCAACAAACACTTCCTAGTTCTACTGATGTTTAATTGGCGCTACACATGTCTGTTTGTTGTTTCAGGAGGAACTGTATGAACTCTTCAAGCACTGTGGTCCTATTTTAACGACATATATTGCTGATTATGTGCAGGGTTCACATATCTATGGGTGAGTGGTTCAAATAATCGGCTCATTCATTATCAGTTTTTAGGTTCACATGTCTATTCATGTCAATAGATGAGTCATTCACATAATCAGCTCATTCATCTGCTGTGGCAAAAATAATAATACCATATTCGACGTAATAAGCGCCCCTCTCTAATAAGCGCCCACGGCGATATTTGCTAATATATTGGCTAGTGAACAATCCCAATTAGCACCCTTCGTGTGTTATATGCACACTTAATTACGGGAAATTAAATTCTGGAAAAATATATCTGGCGTGTCTTATACGTACAGACTTTTCTTTTGTATCATTTAAGGCTGTCAGCCTAAACCACAAATTTACGATCTTTCAACTCTTTCACAAAAATTATATTCTAATAAGAGCCCCCTCTTTCTAATTTTGAGAGCGCCTTTACGTCGAATACGGTTACCTTTATTCTCAGGCTCCACTCACATCATTATAAAGTTTGCTGCACCTTTCATTTTTATTTCCATTTTATAAACAAACAAAAAATCCTTAAGTATTCCAATGTTAGTCAAATACTGTATTCCAGTATTTTACTCATCAAGGAATACATTTATGTAGGGAGGCCTTGCCAAGTTGATTGTTACACAACTGTTTATTTGGTTACATACTAGTTTGAACAACAAAACAACCAAAAAAAACACCACCCGCCCGCACTGAATTTTCAAAAGCCATTGCCTGAGAACCAGTTCTTTTATTTTTTTAAGCCTAATCTAACTTTTGGTTGCATTAGAGTTCCCTTCTATTTCTCCCTGTCACAGCTTCTCTCTGGAACTTATATTTCATGTTGAATATTGTTACAATTTGTGTTTCCAGTTTTGTTTCTTGCGTAGTGCCACACTCAGCAATATTCCAACTATTTCAAGGCAATTGGTAAATAATCAAGCCTGACCCAGACAATCCAGTGATCGATATTGTGAGCAACGATCCATACCCTTGGGGAATGATGACATGCAGTCAACCAAGTTCCCGAGCCATCGCGCCACTTGGGTGAAGGTTGCCATCGTGTGGCTTGGGTGTTGTTGTCATTGGGCATACCATGGTTATTATCCCCTGCCACGAAGTAGAAGGGGGATATAGGAATGGGTGCCGTCCTTCCATCCATCCGTCCGTCCGTCACATTTCGTTTCCGGAGCAGAACACAAAAACCGTGAGAGATATCTCAACCAAACTTGGCACATAGATAAGTCTTGTGGTGAACTGGTGCCTTTTGATAGTTTGGGATTTTTGAAAACATTATTTTTCGAGTTTCCACGGCAACGACTTTGACTTAGACTGAAAATGGCGGTAGTCCTTGTTTCCGGAGCAGAACTTGAAAAATCGTACAATATTTCTTTACCAAACTTGTCAAATAGATAGGTCTAGTGGTGAACTGGTGCCTTTTGATAGTTTGGGATTTTTAAAATTTTTATTTTTTTCAAGTTTCCATAGCAACGACTTTGACTTAGGCCGAAAATGGCGGTAGTCCTTGTTTCCAGAGCAGATCTTGAAAACCATGCCTTTTGATAGTTTGGGAGTTTTTACAAATGTTTCCTTAGCAAGAGCATAATTCAGAAACCGTTTACATATTCTACAAAAACATCTACACAGGGTTGCCTGAGAACCGTTACCATAATAACCTAATTGAGATGTATACCACTTGACAAAGGGGCTTTGACAAGGTATATGGTGAATTATTGTGAAAACACAGTTTACAAGTGGCACCCAAACCAGCCTACTTCATCACAGTGCATGGTGGTAACATGAACAGTGGCACCCCATTTTCAAGGTCACAGCAGGCAAATCTGTTTTTGGAGTCGGAAAACGGTGTTGCCGCAATATCTCAAGAACTAATCGCTGGATTGTCTTCATATTTGGTACTATGGTGTATATACAGGCGGGGGACATTTCGTCACTTTGTGACAAATACTTGTTTAAGTTATAACACATCTCATTACAAATACAACTGTAAATGCATAAAAAATGCACACAACGGACATGTCATATTGGCGCGGGATATGAATATTTCATGCTTGTTCTCTTTTTATAGTCGTTTGTTTTGGGAAGTGGATTTGATGAAGATGTTGTACTGCTAATGCTTGCAGAAGGGAATTCTGTTTTTCCATGTTATTTTAGGTCTTTAGTATGACTCAGTGACAATCTTCCAGTGTGGTTTTCAAGCATCATTGATCTTCTCTCCTCAGTTTTGTGAGATTCGCTGACCCCAAGGCAGCGCTGACGGCAGTGAGGGAATTGGACCAATGGACTCTGAAGGGGTGGATACTGAATGTGGAACTGTCTACTGACACTAGAAAGAAGCTGGTGGCTGGTAGGTTACTTGATGAGTGCACTGTCATGTCCCAGGAACTCCTGTGTTCCAGGTAGTGCCATGCGCGAATCTGGAGAACTAAACTATGGATGTAGGAATACTATGTTCTTTCCCTTCTGTCACTGCATGAGAAGTTGCACTATATCAGGGTTGCGGACTTGAACTACATTTACCTCGGACAGTAGGACTGGCTACGTGGAAGTACTTGGAATAATAATAATAATAATAATAATAATAGGCTAATTGTATAGTCCAAAACTCCACATCACCGAGGACATGTTGAATGCGTAAATCTTGAAATTAACGCAAGCATAAATTAAATGTGAAAAAGGCGAGTGGTCTTTTCTTGCGTTAATTAACTTCGCATTTATGTCTCCAAATGACTATCGACAAAAAGACACTTGGAAATAGCAGGAATACCAACTTGAATATAAACAAGGTTTTTCAGCAGCAGTTGTAACAAGTATGTATCAATGTCATACAAAGAATAAGAATTACGCATTTGGCATCCGGTGAGTTATCACTGCTGGGGTCAAGAGCTCTAAATGCTCTTGTCAAGCTTGTTTACACCTCTGCATACCAATTATTGAACTGCTGTTGGTTCAACAGTGTAAACATATAAACTGTGTGTTTTGTTTTTAGGAAAGCACTGTTTATTGTTTTTAGTCAGCGCTAATAAGCGGTGCTATTTGCTGTTTGATTGGATTAAGGTAGGATATGTGTCATTCCACTGGGGATGGGGTGCGGGCAGTCATATTGATATTGAGTCCCATTTTTGGCTAGGGGTCAGCAGTCATATTAATTTGGAGACTCATTAATTTCAAGATTTACAGTATATACGACAGAGAGGGGACAGTAAAGATCATGAAGATAGTGAATATACACACATTCAGTTGTAGCGTTCAAAACTAAAACACAGTGATACTAGGTGCACTTTTGCGGCTGAAGGCAAGGGAGTTCCATAGAGAGGCAACAGTGTGAGAGAAGGGTCGAGCACCAAAGGACTTTAGTTTATTTGGTACAGACAGAAGAAGTTGGTTATATGATCAGAGATTTCTGGTGGATTTGTATTGGAGAAACACTTCTTGAAGGACCAGTTTTATGAAGAGACTGTTTGACAAGAGTGAGGATTTTCAAATCAATCCTCTTGCGGATTCACAGCCAATGTAGTGATTTGAAGATGGGGGAGATATGAGACCAAAGCTTTGTTCTTGTCACTATCGGGCAGCTCTACTCTGTATCTTCAGCAGTCAGTTCAGCCAGTCCTTGTAAACAAATGCCACTACCATGGAATCAAAAAGTGATGATGCATCTCTTTTTGTGTTGTCTATTACTTCAAACTTGAAATATTAGTAGTTGTTTTCATGGAAAACCTCAAATGACATGACTTCTCTTTTAGTTGTGCAATAACACTGTTGTCAAGTGATGGTCCCTATCAGTAATCTGATCATGGTTGCTGTAAGTAAGGGTAAGATGGTGCGATCTGCCGATCAGTTCACATATGATTTCACCAAAATTAATGTAACCAACATTGAATACAATCTGGGACTACTGCACTTTACCAGGCATACTTTTTTCTGTGAAACTCAAAACGATGAAAATTACCGCATTCGATGTGATATGTGCCCAGGCGCTCTCAAAATTAGAAATAGGGAGCTCTTTTTAGAATATTATTTTGGTGAAAAATAAATTTTGTGTTCATGTACGACAGATATATATTTCCAGAATTTAATTGCCCATAATTAAGGTTGCATATAACACACGAGTGCGTATCATACACTAATAAATAAATCTTGTTAACATTGATCAATCGGAAGGAGTGCTAATTGGGATTGTTCACTAGCCAATATATTCGCAAATATCCGTGGGCGCTTATTAGAGCGGGGGGCTTATTATGTCGAATACGGTATACAGTTTCTTTACATTGGATTAATTTGTGAAAAGAGTGAGCTAACCTGTACCCTACCTCACAAGTAACCCCAAGGATAGTAAAGGGGCGTTTGATTGGCGAGTGGTGCCCAACCTAAAGGTCATGAAAGGGTGTTTGATAGGAAAGCCAAAAGGCGTACTTGATCAGAAAGGGGATCCATGGGCTGAGGGTAAAGTTGGGGTAACTTATCCCTACCCACACACAACTAACCTTAGGATCAAGGAGGAACGCGTGATCCGACAAGTGAGAGCCACAGTCTGCCGCATGAGCCAATTAGCACTAATAAGATGCGCCCAGTAAACTGCATTGTTACCTACAAGTTTGGATTAAATAAATAAATTAGATTACAAACATAAGTCCAGATATACATTGAACACTTTTTATTATCAAATAGTCTAATAAACCATTTTTTTGTGGGGGTACGTTGAAGGAAGTGTACTTCGGCTCGATGTTTCAAGAAAAGTGTAATGGTCCACTCATGTCCGAGGGGGTGAAGCCGAGGCACTGCACAAAGTATAATCATTTAGGAACCCTGCACCGCTGCATTGAGCTATCGAAGGTTCATTGAATGAGGGGGGAGGGAATGGATTTCTTAAAAGTTCTAAATTTCTTAGATTCAGAGGTATATTAATGTTGTATATTGAAATTGTATTCAGTGCAATAATGTAAGACTAAGCATTAAAACTTCTTCCTATATATATGTCCTGTTGAAAAAACAGGTTATCTCTACTAAGCCATTAAGTTAGAAAACTGCATTTTGGAAATTATTAATGAAGTTGGCTGCAGATTAGGGGCCAGATATCAGCCTGTGATCAGGTCTAGATAAATCCCTGTCTGGGTCATACTAATTATTATCTATTTGTTAATTAAGCTGTAACATATTCACTGACTCACATTCAATCTGTTGACCATGTCAGAGGGTCATCTGGAAGACACACATCAACGACGTGTCCAGTCTGCCCCGCCCGCCAGACACCTGGAGATGACCCGCATGTCCATGGACAACTTGCTGAGTGAGAGTCGACTGCGAGACTGCTGCACCGAGATGAACAGACAGCAAGGCATACACGGTCAGACAACGTACCCAGATCCCATCTTGTGTACAGTCAAACCCAGTTATCAAAGTAATCAAAGACCTTACAGCAAGGCATACACGGTCAGACAACGTACACAATTAAAGCCACAGGGAAACCACCATCCAGCCACAAGCCAGAACCATCAGGAGCAGTGTACCACATTCCGTGCAATTGTGGACAAGCTTACATAGGAGAAACATCTAGGCCCCTCAAAACCCGGCTCTTAATTGTAAGAAAGAAGTTGTTCATCCATAAATTTCTTATCCTTACTTAGTACTCCAACTTCTAAATGCCTATCAAAGAAGTTACCCAGATCCCATCTTGTGTACAGTCAAACCCAGTAATCAAAGACCTTACAGCAAGGCATACACGGTCAGACAACGTACCCACATCCCATCTTGTTGTGTAGAGTCAATCCCAGTAATCAAATACCATTCCCTTTAAAATGCTTATTAAACAATCCTGTGAAATTGTCTGCATTAACAAGTTTAATAATTAATGAATCATGTAGTTATCTCCCTTTGTTAGGGGGTGGGTCAATTCATCTGTGAGATTTTGTGTTAGAGTAAGTCCTCAGCAACCTATGCTGGTCATAAGAGGCGACCAAATGGATCGGGTGGTCAGACTCAGTGACATGCTTGATAGCTTGTCACCGTACCCTGACAGCATGCATCATTGCACATAATACCGGTTAAAAGTGGTCTTCAGCAATCCATGCTTAAAAGAGACAACTGATGGGATCGAGACTGTCTTGTCCGGATTCAATTAGTTATATAGGCTGGCGTCATATAGCTCAAACATTACTGAGCATGGTTTTAGTCAGCCAATAAGACAATAAAAATGCTGAGAATGTCATCTCTGATACTATGGTTGACCATGCCCCGATCCTCTTTATGGCAGCAAGCAACAGACTGGATGCAGAGAGGCTGATAGCGGACATCAATGGATTGAAGTGTGGCAAGACATCTGTCCTTCACGGAGACCTGATAGGGCAGCAGCACAGGAACATCTCTCACATCAAGAGGACCTTAATGAAAAGGTGATGCATCACTGTAATGTGCTTATTACTTGTATATTACTTTGTAGTGCTTTGGAACCCGGACTATTGACCCTAGTGCTTTGGAACTTTGACCATTTACTGTAGTGCTTTGGACCTTGGACGATGGCCAAAGTGCTTTGGACACCAGACCATTGACCATAGCGCTTTGGATCCCAGACCATTGACCATAGTGCTTTGGACCCTGGACCATTGACCATAGTGCTTTGACCCTGGACCATTGACCATAGTGCTTTGGACCCCGGAAGAAGTGGTTTCTTTAAAGATTCTTATTTTTAACATAAATATTGGCATCTTTGAAAGAATTATGTTCATTCTCAGCAGCTTTTATACGTGTCTCATTGGCCTTATCACCATGCTTTCCATGTGACAATTACACAAGTAATGCATATTTTGATCTGAGTTCAGTTGCCCTCTCAAAAGGGCAGTGTCAGATTGGACAAATTAGCTCCTTTTTTAAAAATTTTCTTGGCTTCTTCAAATAGTATATAACGAAATAAACAGTTGTGTACCATCAACCTGGGAAAGGGCCTCCCTACATAAAAAGCATACAAAGTTCTATTGCCGCCATGACCATAACACAAGATGCCCAGTAAAGCAGTGCACAGGGAAGTAACTGTGTGCTATTTTGGATCATATTGTTTTTAGGAATGAGGATTTTTTATTTTTATGGAAATAATAAAAACATGTGGCGGACTTTATGATAATGCGGGCAGAGTCTGAGAACCAAGACTATTATTTTGTTAGCCTAATACGTGCCATGACATAGTTGTCACACTGACACATTTTGTTTTTGCAGCGAAGCAAATGGAAGGGTTTTGCCTCAAACAACCAATACATTCTTCAAGACTCTTCAAAATATCCTGGAAAACGTTGTCTCCATTGCACAAGAAGTTGACGACCCACACGGTCCATCTTCTCCTGGCTCGACAACAGCAGATGGAGCCTGCTCCCAGCCTGGTGCAGGGAATAGTTCCACCTTTATACAACACCTTACATATGCCATCGAGAAGACTAACGGGGTGTCATTGAGCTTAGAAGAAAAGATAGCCTGTACGTCAAATTTGAAGAAATCGCAATCAGACTTAAAGTTACCCTGTCGTGACAGAACATGTGATGTAAGTTCTAGGGGAGGTGGAAGAAACAATTGTGGATCAAACAGAGCTTCAAAGTTAGAAGAGAGTATGTTTTCTGATAAAAATGACTGTGAAGGTGATGAAATTGAGGCAAGGGATTTGAAGCAGTCTGATGCCACACAGACACAAGCTGGTGTATCATCAGGGAGTGATGCTTACGCAAGAAACATGGCCATCAATGTCAAGAAAAATTATTCAAAGAATGACAACTATAAACATAGTTTCATTGATACAAGAAACGGTGTGGTTGGTGACACAAGAAACGGTTTGGTTGGTGACACAAGAAACGGTTTGGTTGGTGACACAAGAAACGGTGTGATCAATGACACAAGAAACAGTGGGGTCGATGACACAAGAAAAAGTGGGATCGATGACACAAGAAACAGTGGGATCAATGACACAAGAAATGGTGTGGTTGATGACACAAGAAACGGTTTGGTTGATGATACAAGAAACTGTATGGTCGATGATGCAAGGAACTGTATGGTCGATGATGCAAGGAACCGTGTGATGAGGAGAGCTCTTGGTGATGCAGCAATGATGGGCCATGCATCAGAGCCTGAGCCTGAGGAACAAACAAACTGTAAACACTGTAGTCTAAGAGATATAATGAGAGGATCAAACAATGAAGAATCAAACAGTAGTGACAACTCTGACAGCAAAAGGTATCGACGGTTTTTAAAACATTCTGGATTTGAGAAAGGACAATGTGTGAATACGGACACCTCTTCTTCAAATCAGGATGACTCAGAAAATGACTCTCCTACCTCTAAATTCAAACAAAAAAGTCAAATAACTGCAACTAAGAAAGTCTGTGTTGAACAAAGGAAACCTTCAGAGTTGAAATTGAGTTCTGATAGCTGTGAAAAATGTATACTCAAGAACGATATCAGCTGTGACGAATTGACATCAATGTTAAAGAACATTCTTCACATCCCAACCAATGGTGGCAACCAAACAAAAGCTTTAAAAGATACTCATGTCAGTGCCTTTCATTTTGATCCAGAATTAAACCAGGCTTCTTATTGTAGTCTTCCAGCAAGTCATAGATCACCAGCAGCATTTAGAAACTCACCCACTCCTGTACATAATCAGACAAATACCTCTGGTTCAGCTTCACCTGATCGTTTCCCAGCTGGACCACAGGTTACAAATGGATACTTGCCTCCTATGGGCAGGGGCCTGTCATCCATTCTTGACAGGCTCAAATCAAAGGAGAGAAGAACAGGGCCATTTTTGTCGGAAAATGAAAAACCTTCTCGCCATGTTGACGGTACTGAGCATGGAAATCGCTTTCCTGTTGATTGTCCTCATGTTGATCGTCCTCATGTTGATTGTCCTCATGTTGATCGTCCTCATGTTGATTGTCCTCATGTTGATTGTCCTCATGTTGATTGTCCTCATGTTTTCTATGCTGGAGGTGTTTTTCCATCCAATTCTAATGACGAAATTTTGACATCCAACTGTGTTGAGTTTATCAGAGATGAAACATTTCATGGTACTGTAAGACAGAGGAATGCTCGACCTAAGGCTCTACCACAGAGTTGGGTTGGCTCCTCAACACATGGTGAATCTCTTTCCAAAGCAGAGATAAGGTTTCGCCCTCTGAGAGACAGCATCAGAACCCCTCCCCAAGTCAGATCATGTGAAGAAAGGACTCAACCCAAGCCTAATGAATTGTCATCTGTGTTATCAAGTCGGTATCAGTCTTCTGATAAAACATGTGGTACAAGACTTAATGCTCAACCCAAGATGGCTGCAACGAGCATGCTTGAAGGTCGCATTAAGTCAGCTTCGTCGGAGTCGGATGTCGTTGCTGCTGATTCTGGAGTAGAGTCTGATTCCTATCAGAGAATCGTGTCAGTCAGAAAAAGTCAAGAGAGAGACAGTTCTAGGTCAGCCCATGGTGTGTCTATGTCGGAAGGAAGTCGAAGATCGAAGGATCCCGACCAGTTGCAGTTGTATATCAAACAAGGTAGGGGTCATCGTGTGTCATCAGGACTTGGTGTGTAATGATTTCATGCATCGTGATCACAACAGAATTGTAATGTGAGGTCATGTATTAATATAAAATAGTACAATTATATATCATACATGACATGCGTATTCATATAAACAAAACTGGTGATCGACTCCAAGTCACTATGACGGAATGATTGTCAGAGTTACTTCCCTTGGATGACTGCTAACTGTGCACATAATGTTTTAGTATCCCAGTCTCATTAGTTGTGTGATCTTTCTCAACCGTATCAGCTCTCCTGCTGAAGAGCTGATTTGGCTCTAACTTATATCTAATAATCGTCTGATCTCATTTATATTTCATTTAAATTAAGCTACTATGGACAGTGTATTTAAACTCCAAGCAATATTCCATATTAAATATCTAAAAATGTTGTAGATTAGTGTAAATATGTTAAATTGTTCAACTTGTGTATAATTGTTTCAGTTGTTGGCCGGGGCAGAGGACTACTAGGGAGGTTCGAGTGAGGGAACAAATCAGCACCACCATTCATCATGAATCATTTAACATTATGACGCCAGTGGAAATCTGTCACTTGTATTACAAATGTTATTATGGCAGCATTACATAAATGTATCATGGCATGTGTGTGTCCAAATCAAGAGTTCTCAGATGGGTTAGTTAAGTGAAATATTAAACAATTTTTTAAAGATACTGCTGGTATATTTTATTAGTTTCTTTACCTCACTACAATCCGTGTCATATATGAATGTTTTGGGTTTTTTACAACCAGTCGCTAATCAAGACAGCAATCTACACTGTTGTCGATAGGCTTTAGTGTAAACATACAATGTGTATGAATGTCCATTTTGTTCAAGCATCAGAATCAAACAGCTGAAGTATTTCCAGATTTTGTTTTTCTGGCCGTTGTATTTTCTTGAGATGGTTGAGACACAAGAATCTCACATAGCCAAGTTTCAAGTACATATCAGTTTACTTAGTACATGCATGTTTTTGTTTATTTCGTTACATTTTCTTCAAAGGTTTTATTTGTTTTGTAGAAATATTTAGTTTCATATCATTAATCATTATATGTGTATGTTTTAGTTCATATAATTAGTTACAATTACTGTATGTTATAGTTCATATAATTAGTTACAATTACTGTATGTTATAGTTCATATAATTAGTTACAATTACTGTATGTTATAGTTCATATAATTAGTTGCTATGAGGCAATACCGATTTTGATTTAAAAAAAATAAAATGTGATGACACACAGTAATATTATTCTGAGCATAAAAAACAATGCCTAGCATACATTAAATATAGTTAAAACTGTAAAGTTTTATCACAAATGTTTTATTTTGATTTACCAAGTTTGGTATCTCCTGTTCGTTCAGCTGAAGTGAGACGTTGTAGTTTTTGAAGAGTCACTATATATACCAAACAAAGAAAGGTAAGGTTCATGAACATTTTTTGGGGACATTTTTATGATATTGTGTGCTCAGTCTTCACTACAAAACAAATGTGCCCCCAAATATTCATGATCCATAATTTTGACCAATTTGACCTCATAAATTTGTGCAACAAACATTTTTTCATATTTTGTTTATGAACAAACTACCGGTCTGAATACTGCAACAGTAAATCATTAAAAATAAAAATGTAAAATCAATTTGAACTCATGTAAAACACCCAGTTGTACCTCTAGAGACTAGACATTTCATCACCATCTTCAGATATTTGCTACATGACTGTTACAACAAGATGTCGTTATTGTTGGACCAGTTGCTATGTTTTTTACAATATTTATAATATTATTTCATATTTAGGCCACTTTGTTTTAAGTAATTTAAGGTCCAAGATTTTATGTGATGTTGGATATTATGAGAGTAACTAACGAGCTACGAGGAATTATGGTTCATCTTTCCCTGGGGAATTAAAGCCCAATACAAATGTATCCCTGCGCAACAGGAAGTGACCTTTTCATGGCACATCGGGTTCTGTAAAATAGTTTTCTATTACCATTCAAGTTTAGTATATTTGTATCACTTACTTATACAAAACAACATGCAAAACGTAAGAAACATGTTAACTTCATTGACATAACAAATGTTGACTTATAAAATTTTATAAGTCAACATCGGCAGGTGCTAGAATGTAACAAGGTAAAACTGCAGCAGCTCAGTAAGCCAATGCTTAAGTTTCTGAACTTGAAGAATTTGATGCCAAACATGCATTCCACCACAAGATGATGGATAGTGAAGACAAAATTCTGCGATGTCTCATTCTATATCAGCTCAGCTAGAGAAAGAACAAATGAAAGTAGTACCGGCAACCAATGAAACAACAAGTTATTAATAGAAATAATTATTGCCAGGAGCATTACAGAATATTTAATACCCTTTATCTGGCTTCCCTTGTGGGTATGAAATACTTCACATACCGGTATAATTGTAAAAAAGGCAGCTATGTGAATTTTAAGCTTTGTTTGAAATTTACCACCATTGCTCAAGTACTGATGCTTTATTACCAAAGTTGGTATGTTACAGATTCCCATCTCTAATTTTGTCTTTAGGAAGGATACTGTTCTGGTCCCTGTTCCACAAAACAATCATAGCACTCCTCCCATACTTTAGCATAGACTTACCATCGTCGTAGGGCTCGTTCCTATTATCTATATTAGTTCTTAGGTGATCATACCTTAACATAGGCTTACGATCATCGTAGCACTAAGATTTGAGGAACAGGGCCCTGGGCAGCGATCTTAGCGCCGAGGTGGTCGTTACTCCTTTACTTTGACGTAGGCTACGATCATCATAGGGCAAAGACCAATTTGTGGAACAGGGCCCTGGTTGCATTGTTGATAGTGACAAAGGCAATTCCGCTTGTACAATCTTGAGACTTGGGAGATTGCAGAGTTCATTTATGGTTCTGAAAACGTGAACCCCCATGGGTGACTCTGGGGCAAACTCTGGCACCTGTACTGATGTTTCTCTTAAAGAGGATCGGGGCGATCGGGTAGCCTAGTGGTTAAAGCGTTCGCTCGTCATGCCGAAGACCCGGGTTCGATTCCAGACATGGGTACAATGTGTGAAGCCCATTTCTGGTGTCCCCCGCCGTGATATTGCTGTAATATTGCTAAAAGCGGCGAAAACCATACTCACTCACTCACTCTAAAGAGGATCTGGTGGTTCAAAATCTGTGACTGTGTGTCAGTATGCAGCCCCAGGGGGTGTTTGTTTTTTTAGATCCTGTTCCACTCCAGCTCACAATGACAGTCTTACTGTACATGTGAAGCACTTTCAGCAGTTACTGTTTCAACATGATATGGGAATATGATTGTTTTAGATATTAGATGCTCAGATAAGCATTTTGCCATGAATAAAACGTGCAAAGGGCTGCTTCTGTTTTTACAAGGTAGCGTTTTCTAGTCATACTTAAAAATATATAAAGTAAAATATTTTATGTAAGTTATGCTTGTATAAGAACATATATATATATATTAACAACCAAAAGTTATTAAACACAACAATGTTTTAACAAGCCTTCATTGTGTTGTGTTACATCTTATTTCCACTTGAGCGATGACCCAGTTTCTGCCAGTGTTACCTGATCAGAGCTGGTTTCGTCAGCAGTGTGCGGATCTACATTAAATAGCAATGCACTCACGAATGTCCAGTAATTGTCGCAGTCGAATATCTTGAATAAGGCACATGCACATTCTTGAATCCCGGAAACACTTTGAAGCCAGCAGGAACCTGGTGTTTTAAGATAAGTATCCCGTCCTCACGGGGCAAGTAGATGCTAATAATAAATACAACTGAATGTGGATATTTTCACTATCTTACTGTCCCCTCTCTGTCGTATATACAGATAAGTATCCCGTCCTCACAGGGCGAGTAGATATTAATAATAAATACAACTGAATGTGGATATTTTCACTATCTTACTGTCCCCTCTCTGTCGTATATACAGATAAGTATCCCGTCCTCACGGGGCAAGTAGATGCTAATAATAAATACAACTGAATGTGGATATTTTCACTATCTTACTGTCCCCTCTCTGTCGTATATACAGATAAGTATCCCGTCCTCACAGGGCGAGTAGATATTAATAATAAATACAACTGAATGTGGATATTTTCACTATGTTACTGTCCCCTCTCTGTCGTATATACAGATAAGTATCCCGTACTCACGGGGCGAGTAGATATTAATAATAAATACAACTGAATGTGGATATTTTCACTATGTTACTGTCCCTTCTCTGTCGTATATACAGATAAGTATCCCGTCCTCACAGGGCGAGTAGATATTAATAATAAATACAACTGAATGTGGATATTTTCACTATCTTACTGTCCCCTCTCTGTCGTATATACAGATAAGTATCCCGTCCTCACGGGGCAAGTAGATGCTAATAATAAATACAACTGAATGTGGATATTTTCACTATCTTACTGTCCCCTCTCTGTCGTATATACAGATAAGTATCCCGTCCTCACGGGGCAAGTAGATGCTAATAATAAATACAACTGAATGTGGATATTTTCACTATCTTACTGTCCCCTCTCTGTCGTATATACAGATAAGTATCCCGTACTCACGGGGCGAGTAGATATTAATAATAAATACAACTGAATGTGGATATTTTCACTATCTTACTGTCCCTTCTCTGTCGTATATACAGATAAGTATCCCGTACTCACGGGGCGAGTAGATATTAATAATAAATACAACTGAATGTGGATATTTTCACTATCTTACTGTCCCTTCTCTGTCGTATATACAGATAAGTATCCCGTACTCACGGGGCAAGTAGATGCTAATAATAAATACAACTGAATGTGGATATTTTCACTATCTTACTGTCCCTTCTCTGTCGTACATACAGATAAGTATCCCGTACTCACGGGGCGAGTAGATATTAATAATAAATACAACTGAATGTGGATATTTTCACTATCTTACTGTCCCCTCTCTGTCGTATATACAGATAAGTATCCCGTCCTCACGGGGCGAGTAGATATTAATAATAAATACAACTGAATGTGGATATTTTCACTATCTTACTGTCCCCTCTCTGTCGTATATACAGATAAGTATCCCGTACTCACGGGGCAAGTAGATGCTAATAATAAATACAACTGAATGTGGATATTTTCACTATCTTACTGTCCCCTCTCTGTCGTATATACAGATAAGTATCCCGTACTCACGGGGCGAGTAGATATTAATAATAAATACAACTGAATGTGGATATTTTCACTATCTTACTGTCCCTTCTCTGTTGTATATACAGATAAGTATCCCGTCCTCACGGGGCGAGTAGATGCTAATAATAAATACAACTGAATGTGGATATTTTCACTATCTTACTGTCCCTTCTCTGTCGTATATACAGATAAGTATCCCGTCCTCACGGGGCAAGTAGATGCTAATAATAAATACAACTGAATGTGGATATTTTCACTATCTTACTGTCCCTTCTCTGTCGTATATACAGATAAGTATCCCGTCCTCACGGGGCAAGTAGATGCTAATAATAAATACAACTGAATGTGGATATTTTCACTATCTTACTGTCCCTTCTCTGTCGTACATACAGATAAGTATCCCGTCCTCACAGGGCAAGTAGATATTAATAATAAATACAACTGAATGTGGATATTTTCACTATGTTACTGTCCCCTCTCTGTTGTATATACTGTAAATCTGGAAATTAATGTGTCTTCAAATTACTATGACTGCTGACCCCTTGCCAAAAATGGGACTCAATATCAATGCGACTGCCCCCACCCCTTCCCCAGTGGAATGATGCATATCCTTACCCTAATCCAATCAAACAGCATTGCTTATTAGCGCTGACTAAAAACAATAAACAGTGTTTTCCAAATAGCTCTGCTTATTAGCACTGAGAAGAGCACTTCCGTAAAAACAACACAATTTATGTTTACTCTGTTGCCTGGCTTACGGGAAGTTCAAAGGCAATAAAATAATTGAACCAACATCATTTCACCGACTGGTATGCGGAGATGTCAACAAGCTTGACACATTTTTTATAGTCATTTTGGAGAAATAAATGCAAAGTCGATTAATGAGAGGAAAGACCACTCACCTTTTTTCTCATTTAATTCACGCTCGCTTTAATTTCAAGATATACAGTATGCAAGTCAGATCGTGGAAGGAGGCCTCGAATCACACTCGTTTGGATATTATGTAGGTAGGGCCAGCCTTCCAGAAACTGTCACCTCAAAAAAACTTCTCAAATGATCAAGTCTCTTCATTCATCATCGACTGTAAGCAACTAAGGGAGGTCACTCTAACTTATAAGCTGCTGTGAGCGTACACTCACCAACAACCATGTTTGTCATGTGGTGACCAGGCTTGAACGATCAGATTTCGGTAATTTGGTTGATGGCACCATATCCATCACTGGGTATTCTGGTCCAGATTAGAATACTTACAAGCCACCATCACATAGCTGGAATACTGCTGAGTACCAGACTTTCAGGCACAGTGACACACAAACATTCACCATGCCCAAGGGGCAAGTTATGAGCTAACAGTGGACAGGTGCTTTGATTCATCCCACACAGCTCTTTAGAATAGACACTGCTTGACACAATACATTACCTTGACATACCCCCATCGGGATTCTGCCTTAGAATAAAGCCCAAGCAACCAATGCTGGTCCTAAGAGGCAATTCAATGGATTGGTGAATAGTTTACTGCATGTCATTGTACCTCATTGAGATGGGCGTGGGTTAAAGTTTATTTATCAACTTTTCAGGCCCTGACTCGATAATTTACAGGCTCCTTTCATCCATTTGCAATATTGCTGAGTGCGGAATTAAACAAACACAAACATTGACATACAAACCTCACTAGCCTCATCTTCCCAAGGCAAGGGACTTAATATTAACTGACTGTAAAAGTCCAGTTTCCACCCTTGCTGAACTGGGCTGGAATTATTGAGTTACATTTTGGCTGGACTAACTATGCTTAGTCCAATGAAACACATGCAACAAACTAGACATCCAGTTCATAAACAACATTTCAACATACAGATGTCGACTGACTGCAGGTTTTGCAAAGCATGTATACTGTCAACTGGGTGTCGACAGATATTTTGCAAATCTTTTCGAGCTTTTAATCAAGGTGGTCAAATGATTTGATGAGTTTGCGAGTTAAGATCCTTATTATCAAGCAGACCAGCTTGACTGGGCACCGCCATTCTGTTTGTAGCAAATGCAAGTGATCTGAGAGGTGATTGGTAAATAGGAGGGACATAACGAACACCAGTGGCGGTACGATCAAGCCACAAAATTCCAGCGTAGTTCAGCAAGGGTAGAAACTGGTTGGTTGGTTGGTTTGTTGTTTAACCCCGCACTCAGCAATATTCCAGCTATATGACGGCGGTCTGTAAATAATGGACCAGACAATCCAGTGATTGATATCTTGAGCATCGATCCACGCAATTGGAATTGATGACATGCATCAACCAAGTCAGGGAGCCTGACCACCCGATCCTGTAAGTTGCCTTTTACGACAAGCATAGTCACCTTTTACGGCAAGTATGGGTTGCTGAAGACCTATTCTACCCCGGAATCTTTGCGGGTCGGTGGAAACTGGACGTTTGTAGTCGGTTAAACTCCTTGCCTTGGGAAGATGCCCTAGCCTGTATACAAAACATACTACTTTTGTGAGAAATTATTTATTCTTTGCTTTTAATACACCATGGTCAGCCATAAAAGGGGATTATGCAGAGTTTCGAATCTAATTGAGAACACATTCACCACGAAGCTGCCTCAAGGAGAGGTTGGTGCTCTTGATTATAAAACAACACATAGTCTGGACCTGAGATGTATACCCTGCTGTAAAATCAACAACATAGAATTTATAGTAAAATATGAAATATACACAAAACACTGTAAGATTTGAAGTGTGTCAGTAAATAGATATGTTATTTATTGTATCACTAAGAATTGATTCATTAATTCATAATAAATAGAGTTTCATCCCTGCCTGCAAAACAACTAAAAACACTTCACATCACATGGTCCCCGAGTACCTACAGATAAAGACAATGCGTGTCCCTCCTTTTCTTCCTTGCTGAAATACCATGTACTTCATCCTACTAAACATTCATGCTTCATTTGGTGAATCCCATCCATCAATAGTTACCGTATATATAGATCCCTTGAACAAAATACATAAATAATAAAGTGCCTCCCACCTCACTTTTTCAGCTCAGCTGACTGAATGAGTGAGTGAGTGAGTATGATTTTACGCCGCTTTTAGCAATATTCCAGCAATATCACGGCGGGGGCCACCAGAAACGGGCTTCACACATTGTACCCATGTCGGGAATCGAACCCGGGTCTTCAGCGTGACGAGCAAACGCTTTAACCACTAGGCTACCCGATCGCCCCTCAGCTGACTGAAAGTCAAGTGAAGTCATGTAGTGTTGTGTTTTCTGTTTTTCAGTTGTTTGTTTGTCCTTTGTAAACTTTTACATTGTCACCATCTGAAACTACAAGGCCCAAAACTATGATGTCACCAAACAATTTCAATCTGACCTTTAACATAGCAGCAGGGCCGCTGTTTCCCCAGGCGGAAGACAAGTATAAACATGTCCAAAACTGGAAATGATTAATTGTTCTCACTGTAAATATTAAAAATAATACAAACATGCATTCTGAAGAAACAATATTATCTTTAACAACTTTAACAAGTATTTGTCACAGAAGTGACGAAATGTCCCCCGCCTGTATATACACCAAAATACCAAATATGAAGACAATCCAGCGATTAGTTCTTGAGATATCGTGGCAACACCGTTTTCCAACTCCAAAAGCAGATTTGCCTGCTGTGACCTTGAAAATAGGGTCAAGGTCACCAAAACCGACTGGTGTCTGCGGTGTCTGTATATACACCATAGTTCCAAATATTAAGACAATCCTGCGATTAGTTCTTGAGATATCGCGGCAACACCGTTTTCCAACTCCAAAAGCAGATTTACCTGCTGTGACCTTGAAAATGGGGTCAAGGTCACCAAAACCGACTGGTGTCTGCGGAGTCTGTATATACACCATAGTTCCAAATATGAAAACAATCCAGTGTTTAGTTCTTGAGATATCGTGGCAACACCGTTGAAAATGGGCTCAAGGTCACCAAAACCGACTGGTGTCTGCGGAGTCTGTATATACACCATAGTTCCAAATATGAAGACAATCCAGTGTTTAGTTCTTGAGATATCGCGGCAATAAACAGGTGGGACGTACGGACGGTCGTGAATACTATATCCCCCGCTTCGCGCTTCGCGCGGCGGGGGACAATAATGTTAATATGTCAAGGCCAGGGTGCCGTTGTACAAAGGGATCTTAGCGCAGAGTGATCGTAACACCCATACCTTAACATAAAGTTATGTTGTAGCGCTAAGGTTGTTATGTACAACGGCACGCTGAGCAATAGATTTCTTGTTTTATACATTATCTTCTTCAATATGCCGTGTTACATGTATCTTCAAGCTGCTTTATGAACATACTAAATAGAAGGAGACTTAGAATACTGCCTTGATGAACACCTCTAAAACAATCAAAATATTCGGAAATGCGGAATACATGTATTCGGAATATTTTAAATTTTAACAGCTTGTCTTTGAGTATATATCACAAATCATATTCAGCATTTTGCCTTTAATATCTTATTGAGCTAACCCATACTATAAAAGATCTCTATTTATAGAATCAAAAGCTTTCTTTATGAAAGTCTACAAATAAAAAATAAAATCTACCCCAGGTTGTGGATAAATAATTTTGAAATAGTGATTGTAGTGTAGAAAATTTATCAGTTGTCCAGCTTGACACTCATGGTTTTTTGTTAAATATCTCTATGACATTTTTAAGTCTATTATTTAAAACATGTAAATATTTTTCCACAGATGTCCACTACAGAGATTCCTCCATAGTTATTAACATCATTTGTATTGCCTTTCTTGTGAAGCGGGAAAATTAAACTATTAGGCCAATTCACCAGAGTACCATTAAAAAGAACATGTAAGTATAGTAGTAAAATATCACCTCCATGTTTCCATATTTCAGAGTATCAACCAGATCCAGCGGCTTTACCCCACTTTACAATAGACTGAGCTTTAACTATTTCTTCACTTGATATTTCTCTATTTAGAGTATTATTAGTATCATCATCATCAATATGGACAGGTATATATTAGAAAGGTAATGTTGAATGAAGGAAACAAAGTCATCACCTAACAAATTGTCCTGAATATTCAAAATGTTTCAATTTCAATTTCAATCCACAGAGTGAGTGAGTGAGTGAGTGAGTGAGTGAGTGAGTTGGGTTTAACGCCGCTTTTAACGATATCCCAGTCATATCACGGCGTGCCAGCATTTTGTGGGAGGAAACCCCAAAGTGATTGAGGTCCCAGACGTTTACCCCTTCGGTGAAACCCACGAAAACAGGTATGGTGCTGACAAACCTAGAAACATAATTGGGGCGAACCGGGATTCAAACCCACAAACATAGGTTTCTGGCATGCCCAAGGGACACAACAAATCGGGGCGCCTTAGACAACTGGGCCACATGTGTCCCCCCCCCCCCCCCCCCCCCACCCACCCAATCCACAGAGACATGGTAGAGACAATTTTATGGATTTTATGGATGACAACTTCTTTATTTACTGTAAATTACTGTTATCCATCAAGTTGTCTCTACTTCATCATCTGTCAACTCCTAAGTAATGCCTCTCAAACAATCCACAGAGAACTGCTTATACCTGAAGCTAGGGAATGAGATTTGCCTAATAAGGATTTCATACCCAGACTGTTCAAGTGTCAGTCATTAACTGTGTCAAGTAGACTTCCAGCTACAGACTCATGGTAATATTCACATTTCTTGCAACAAAGTTATTGTATTTATTACAAGCAAAGCAGAACTGACTCAAATAGCTGGTTAATATTGATGTGAATCTGTCCTTTGACGGATGTGATAAACCACATCTGTATCAGTGATATATCACCTGCACTTGCAGTATATCAAAGGAGTTCTCACATCAAACACATGAATCAGTCATGATAATGCCTGAGTCCTGAGCAAGCAGTTCAAAAGTTTGATGTCAGATAAAATTTAATCCCGCAAGTTTTGGGATGGGGGTCAACAGTCCCGGTAAATCAACTTTTGAGGGCTCAACATCTTACAGATCTAGTCAGTAATTACAACTCCAATCATAACATGAATCGGAATGAGGTCAAACTGACATCCTCAAACCTCAGCTTCCCCAGCTATCTTAACCATTGTCAAGAAAGAATCACTTGACATTTTCACAATAAAGTGTTTTTGTGGGTAGGGATGTGTTGTTCATCCTACATAGAACTTTTGAACTGCTTCCAAACTGTTACTGATCAATTCATCTTCCACCAAACATGGCATCATAAAAGCACTATACACTATATACACTGTGTGTTTATTTGAAAACTCTGGTGTATATTTTATACATGAGATTCTTAACTGACTTAAACTGAATGCATGATCAATGGCAAAAACAAATAAAACAAATGGAGGGATAAGTATTCCATGACCCATTCTGATCATGCTCGCACAATAATGTCCATACAAGTACCAAAAATAGTGGTAGCTTGTTAACCTGGAAGACAAGACTTTAAAGGGCAAGTTCACACGGAAATGAACCTATTTTTCTTGTACTTTTTCCACATTAAAAGTGTTAACCTAGAAGTGTCATAGACAAAAATATAAAAATATCACAATTAATTAACATATTTTTCGCATTAAAACGATTTATATTTTTCACATTTACCAAGTGTTCTATTTCCACAACAAAAACACCATGGCTTATGCCCCTTGCAATATGACGTCATTGGTGCCAATTGATAAACATTATGACGTCATCATGCTTTGTTAGAGCCGCTTCACATGGTGTAGGTACAGGTGTGTGATTCTAGCGTCTCAGATTCCAGCCAGCATAGTGTTATGCTGAGTCACCACTGCGCCGGAGTGTGTCGTAGGCCATGTTGTTTTACCAGAAACTGGTACTTGCTATCTTTTGCGTTGAGAATAGACAGGGACCCAGTTGAATTGGCACCAATTACGTCATAATCTAAGGGGGATAACTCAGGCCTGTTTAGCTCGAAAAACGAATGCCTCATAACGGCATATCATTTTCACACTATTGTGAGCTTCCTACTTTCACTGTGAAAAAAATGAGTGTATATTTTCAAACACAGATACTAATTAATTCTAAAATTGCGTTTTGTTTAGAAAAAGAAAGAAAGTGATTTTTGCGTGTACACTTCCCCTTTAACAAATGTAAGGTGCCAGTGATGCCAGCTGTTTCTCAACCAGCCTCAACAGTTTCAACAGTAGCCAGACCAGCTTCTTAAAATCACACCCTTCAATCTATTACACAGCTCTTGAGAGTAAATCTCCCATGACTATCTGATAGGTCTGCCAGCAGAAGCGAATTTAATACAAAACAGAAAATATTTTCTTAGAAGCACTTCTTCTAATTTTAAAAACTGAATCTACTTCATAACTGAAGTAATGAAACACAAATTTACAGTCACTAAGGTCCCATCTTCGCGAGGCATGGGAGTTAACTGACCCTTGCCAAACTGGGCTGGAATTTCTGGCCTTGATCGTAGCGCCACCAGTGGCTATTAAGAGTTATGTCCCTTCTATATCCCGCCTTTTGACCAATCAGATTCCACCTCTCATATTACTTGCGTTTGCTTCAAATAAAATGGCATCGCTCAGTGAAGAGGATCTGATGGATAATCAAGATCTATTTTGTAATAAAACGTGTCTTACTTCATCAAGTGCATTAAAAATATGAAAAGATTTCTAAAATATATGTTGACTTAGTTGACGGTACATATGCTCTGCAAGTCCAGCGATCAACCGAAATCTGCACAGCAGTTTATGAATTACAGTTTACAATTTGGTTACGCGATTTTGATTGGACTATGAATAGACTTGTTTGTCCAGCAAAAATATTACTCCATAATTCCAGCCTAGTTGGGCAAGGGTGGAAACTGGACCATTACAGTCAGTTACCTCCCTTGGCTCGAGAAGATGTTAGGGCCCCAGCATGTTCATTATTTGTTGATCTGTTATAACCACTTCCATTTTGCAAAATCAACATTTTGTGTAATGAGTTTACTCACTCTGAACCATTATTAAAAGAAATGTGGAAATTTAACTTTTATAGCTTGAATTTACAAATTCTACTGCTAGTTTTGGAAGCACTTAACCAAAAACCTGGAGGTTGTTTTTCAGTATGGATAAAGATAAAGAAAAAATCTTTATGGTCCAAATCAGAAAATACGGATCTTCATATGTCCCTGAGGACAACATTCATGTTCCTGACATCCTCGATTACCTAGCGCATTAAAATTTGCAAGCAAAGCATTGTTTTCGAAGCAACCTCCCCATCTTCGTCTTTATTAGCACAGAACATATTTCCCTCACCATGGAGATATAATACCCTGGCTTATCAATGATGCTGTTGAGGGGGAAAGAGTCTTTAGAACCTTTAGAACACAGCATCCTCACTAACACCAGTGCCACTGTTCCTAATACTGCAAACACTCATGAAACCAGATTCTTGGCTGTAAAACATAATACTGTGATATGTACACTGGTTCCCTAGCAACCACTAACATTATCCTGTGACTTGGTCAGAAACGTAGCCCAGCCATTTCTTCGTTGTTTCATAGGCGAGGAAGAGAGCGCCGGTCGCGGGGAAGGTTCTCACGACGGTCGGCCCCAATCCCTTGTACAGCGCCGTCACTCCTAGAACACAAAGTTCAACATGGGCAAATACGTGCAGGTCATTTTTTGATTCATGGTATCAAAACTACTTCAAATCTTTAGATTCTTAAACTGCAAAATAATTTACTACCAAATAATTTCGAAGTCTGAATTACATATTTCTCTGAATGGGGGAACATATAGTATCCAATTCAAACTTATTCTTACCACCAATCACTGTGGGGCTCTGAAATATTCAAATTACATTTTTGACATACTTGATGTACTCAATTTTTGTCACCTTAAATTTGCATATATATATAGGTACCGGATCTGAGCAGGTAGTGCCTGGATAATTGCAGTATACAGTATACTACTTTTATAATGAACATGTTTACAACAAACTGACGGATATAACGACTATTTGCAGTGGTTATGCTGTATAACGAATTACGATCATAATGAACAAAAATAAGTGGTCCCTTTGAGTTTTTTATAACTGTAGTTTACTGTATTGTATAACGTGATAAAAATGATATGCGATGTCTTTGCTGATTATATCACTGCAGAAGCTAATATTCAAAGAAAACTCCCATTACTTCTTTCAAAATCATTGTCGGTATGCATTTTAAAATCTATGTATGCAATTAAAATAGTTACGAAAATCAGAGTAGCCATAAGTACAAACTTAAGTGTGTCATTAAAATTTGGGCAGAAAGCATAACAGAAATCGACTAAGAGATCGTGTTTCAAGTTTCAGTGACAACAGGGAGCGTTTGCATCAGTATGAATGGTGTGACTTCAGGATAGTGACTTGGAGTGCAGAACTTAACCTTGCAAGGCTTGCTGAAACTCTTGTAGCGGTGCCCACTTACTGTTGGCTTAGGAAACAGCTGTGCTACACACTTTCAATGCCTGTCACGTATGTCAGGAAAGTATAATGATAAAAATATATTCCTAATTTGAAACTCGACACTGCACATCCAGTTCCAAATTATGTTCAGGTAACCCACAGTAGTTCAGGATTACATGACTGAATTTTCATTAAAATCATAATTACATAAATGATTTACATTTCACTGACTACATCAAGTTTGTTTTGCAAATGATCAGATGATTACAAAAGATAAAACTCATTTTAATTTCACCAGCCTTTAGCCTCAATGTATTTTGTTTCTGTATTCTAAAATGATTTCATTTTTGGAATATCGCACACAAACATAAATAAACAAAATTATTAATTTTCGTTTACATCAAAACACATGTGCATTGCAAAATATCATAGTTTATGTGATATCTTCATATAATTGTGCATGAATTTTTAGCATTCTTTATCCGATTAATCTATTTTATTCAAAATCTATATAGCATTTCTACATATGCACATGGAATGCTTTTGGGCTTAAATGTGCATTAATGTCATGAAAACCTCATTTGCATTTAAATCAAATTAGGGAAAAATATTTGTCTGACAAATAGATATTAATACTACAGTTGCCATGACATTTATTTAGATTAATGATACTGCTGGATGTGCATGTTGTTTAAATAGTCACCATATGTTACACAAAAACAAAAACAAAAGACCAGCAATATTCCTGCTTTGTGACGGTGGTCTGTAATTAAACGAGGCTGGCCCAGACAACCCAATGATCAACATCATGAGCATGCAATTCGAATACAATGACATCAACAAAGTCAGCGAGCCCGACCACCCGATCATGTTAGTCGCCTCTTACGACAAGCTTGGGATGCAGAAGACCAATTCTAACCCGAATCTTCACGGAAGACAAAAACAAGAAGCTGAAAATATCTATTGCACAAAAGGCCAGGACGATACATGTTTTTTCATTGTATATTTTCTGTAATCTTCCATCCTGTCAGTTTGTGGTTTGAGTTAACAAAGATGCTGGTATAAACTAACCATCACAACAAAATACATAGTTTTTTGTTTGTTAAAATGCCACACTTAGCAATATTCCAGCTATATGATGGCAGTCTGTACATAATCGACTCTGGACCAGACAATCCAGTGATCAACATCGCAATTGGGATATTATGATAATAATACGCCGGCAAAACACACTGTCTTGGGCTGTCGGGCAGGCAGGTATTTTAAACAGTGCTTAAGTATTGATTGTTGAAGACAAATTCCAACCCAGATTTTCAGGGGGTCTACAAAACGTATGCAAGTATTCAGTATAAACAACTAAAATGAAGGGGTTCCATTTCAACAAGCCCCATATAATAGATAGCACACAACAAGCAGAGAGAAGATGTGATAGACTGTGCCGCCCCAGCGTTTCAAAAGAGAGTTATCTCCCTTTGGGACAACGACATCATCCATTGTTTAACATCTGGTATATAACTTTGTAGTGCACTTAGACAAGCAAACGTACCTTCCTCTCTGAAGATCTTGAGAACTGTTGCTATAAAGGTGGGAGTTACAGACCCTGCCACGCACTGTACTTGAATGCGTGATTTGACAACATCAGCAGGGAAAATGGCCGTCCACAGGGCCACCCCACCAACACCGCCGCACACGATAGTCCTCCAGGCCCCTGAAATGCCAGGAAATGGGTCAATGAGACACTGAGTGATTTGAGTCTTAGGCTCCTTTGAACAGTATTTCAGTTACATCATGGCATGACTAAAATCGGGTGAATACCAGGTCCCAGCTAGGATTCCGATTACACATCCGATAAGATTGTCAGACCTCAAGCAAAGGGATCTTGGCCTCATACTTTGTGACCTTGACCAAGTTTACCTGATTCTAAATGGCCTTGACCTCATAAGTGATCTTGACCTCATACTATTTGGACATGACCTTGACCTACTCACCTATTTCATCTTTTGTTTTTCCTGCTGGTGTCAGGAGGTGGCGACATATTTCGTAGCCCCCGAAGAAGAAGAAATATCCTGGCATTTCCCTCATGAAGGTGCTGGTGAGCCCCTTAAAGAGCCCCCGGAAGCCCTCTTGCTGGAGGATCTCCTTGGTGAGACCCCAGGGGCCTCTGTGGTGGAGAGATCTTGTTATAGCTCTTATATATTGATAGTGGTTACATGTAGATAATACTTAAAATTGAAATGTTATGAGTTTAACGATAGAGCGACATAGTACACATAATCTCACATTATTCAGTACTTATTACATTTTGTATTGATTTTCAAGATAAGAGTTTTGATACAAATAACTCATTTACAGTGTTATCAAGAAATGAACATACCAACAGAACGAACTAGAAATGTTTTTGAGAAAGGAACAAAATTAATTTATTGATCATATCTTTTTCTAACATATTTCAAGCATACTATGTCTTTTCCAGTTAAATTGCAACTTAAAGCTGGGCCCTTTTAAATTATTGTTTGCAATGGAATTTCCAGATCAGTATACAAAGAAGCATAAAAACAAAACAGAAATCAAGTGTTGTCATACACATAATTCATATACATATTTCTAATCAAACACAGCACTCATGAAAGAAACTATTTGGGATCTCTGCAAAATTCAGGTAAACCTGTCCTTCAAGGAAACAAATGCATCTGGCCTAAATTAATTCACATTGTACTTATTGTTAAGGACCAGCATGATAAATGTCCTTACATTTTGAGTCTCTCTAGCCCTCCTTCCAGCTGTCCTTGGGTGGCCATCTCCCTCATGGCCTGCAGGCGACACTTGATCAGCTCCGTCGGGCACAGCGTGAATGACGAGAAAAAAGCAGCACCACTTCCTGCCAGGGCATTATGCAAGGGTGTCAGTTTGTCCACGCTTGGCACAGAAACCACCTTCGCTACCATCTTCTGACAGATGCCATAAAACAGGAACAGGACTGAGTTCTCTGAGATCTGTGCAGCGAGGGACGGGATGGTGCCTGCGTACAGACCTCGTACAATGCCATCTTGTTTGAAGGTTTGTACAGTACAGTCCATGGCATTAGTGTAGAGTGTGGGGAATGTCTGCATCTTCACCTTGACCGTGTCCAGGGGCTGGCCCACGTAGACAGAGGCAGTGCCACCTGCAGAACAACACTGTCAAAGGTACTGAGGCTCACCTTCCTTTATCCTGTAATAATACTTGAGTGATGATTGGGTAACCTGTCTTACTCATGTTACTTCTGTATAACTTCAAGAAGTCATAAGTGCTTCAGAGCATCACCCCAATATGACATTGATCTAGGTAGAGCATCACATTGTATGACATTGATCTAGGTAGAGCATCACATTGTATGACATTGATCTAGGTAGAGCATCACTCTGTTTGACATTGAGCTAGGTAGAGCATCACCCCCATATGACATTGACCTAGTTAGAGCATCACTCTGTATGACATTGACCTAGGTAGAGCTTCATTCCATATGACATTGACCTAGTTAGAGCATCACTCTGTATGACATTGACCTAGGTAGAGCTTCATTCCATATGACATTGACCTAAGTAGAGCATCACTCTGTATGACATTGACATAGTGAGAGCATCACTCTGTATGACATTGACCTAGGTAGAGCTTTATTCCTTTTTACATTGACCTAGGTCGAGCATCACTCTGTATGACATTGACGTAGTTAGAGCATCACTCTGTATGATATTGACCTAGGTAGAGCTTTATTCCATATGACATTGACCTAGGTAGAGCATCACTCTGTATGACATTGACATAGTGAGAGCATCACTCTGTATGACATTGACCTAGGTAGAGCATCACTCTGTATGACATTGACCTAGGTAGAGCATCACTCTGTATGACAATGACCTAGTTGGAGCATCACCCCCATATGACCTTGACCTAGTTAGAGCATCACATTGTATGACATTGACCTAGGTAGAGCTTCATTCCATATGACATTGACCTAGTAAGGGTATCACTCTGTATGACATTGACCTAGGTAGAGCTTCATTCAATGACATTGACCTAGTTAGAGCATCACTCTGTATGACACTGACCTAGTTAGAGCATCACTCTGTATGACATTGACCTAGGTAGAGCTTCATTCCATTTGACATTGACCTAGTTAGAGCATCACTCTGTATGACACTGACCTAGTAAGAGCATCACTCTGTATGACATTGACGTAGGTAGAGCATCACTCTATATCACATTGACCTAGTTAGAGCATCCCCCCATATGACATTGACCTAGGTAGAGCTTCATTCCATATGACATTGACCTAGTTAGAGCATCACTCTATATGACATCGACCTAGTTAGATCATCACTCTATATCACATTGACCTAGTTAGAGCATCACTCTGTATGACATTGACCTAGTCAGAGCATCACTCTATATGACATTGACCTAGGTAGAGCATCACTCTGTATGATACTGACCTAGTTAGAGCATCACTCTGTATGACACTGACCTAGTTAGAGCATTACTTCGTATGACATCGACCTAGTTAGAGCATCACTCTATATCACATTGACCTAGGTAGAGCTTCACTCTATATCACATTGACCTAGGTAGAGCATCACTCTATATCACATTGACCTAGGTAGAGCATCACTCTATATCACATTGACCTAGGTAGAGCATCACTCTATATCACATTGACCTAGGTAGAGCATCACTCTATATCACATTGACCTAGGTAGAGCATCACTCTATATCACATTGACCTAGGTAGAGCTTCACTCTATATCACATTGACCTAGGTTGAAAATACAAGACTGAAGTTTCAGAATCATTGATCAGTCAAGTTTCAAATCACTTAACATGCCTATGATTAATACAGCAGCTTTGACAGCTGCATGATGAAGCCAGTGCTTATTTTCATAAGAATCCAATTTTGCAATCTCATTAATCCACGCAATTGGGATACGATGACTTGCATCATCCAAGTCAGCGAGGTCTGACCACCCGAACCCGTTAGTCGCCTTTTACGACAAGCATAGTCACCTTTTACATAAGCTCAAGCTCTCTCTCTCTCTCTCTCTCTCTTTTACACAAGCTCTCTCTCTCTCTCTCTCTCTCTCTCATTCATTTTACCCCACCTCTCTGCGGTGTACCCACCTGCAACACCCCCCATGAAGTCGATGAAGGCATCGGTGGCTGTGCTCCTGTTCTTCAGGCCAGCCTCAGTCTCTATCAGCTCCACTGGAGGCTCCATCGTGCTTCTGGAAGTGAGTGAGTGAGTGAATGAGTGAGTGAGTAAGTATGGCTTTACGACACTTTTAGCAATATCATGGCTGGTGAAACCAGAAATGGGTGGCACACATTAACTCCATATTTGGAATCGAACCTGGGTCTTCGCCATGATGGGCAAACGCTTTAACCACCAGGCTACCCCACCGCCCCCTTCTGTTACAGTATTTCATTATACCACATGTCAGCTTTAAGCGAGCAGTTCAAGAGATATCTCCAGGATAAAACCTTAATTCATTAGGTTCCCTCCAAAATACATTTGTTTGTCAAGTGACTAATACTTGCCAGTGATTCATGAAACTGGTGATGCAGCAGATCTTCAAAGCATGTCAAGTTGATGTTTCTCACAAAACCAATTTACCAATGATTGAAATCTGTATTTTCAGTAGGTGATGACAACTAGATCAGTTATTTATTGACTTGCAATCTGTAGTTTTTAAAGCTGAAAGTAATGCAGGTCGTTTTCGACTTTGGTCCTACCCACAGACAGGAGATTGGAAAAAAAGGATCATAACTAGAGTGAATTTTGGATTCAAGCCAACGATCAGCAGATCCTGGCAGCTAGGGGACACAACTTTGCTCAGCAAACTATAAATCTGAGTCATGTAAAATATGTTTATAGTCACTTTTATAACCATTGTTGATCATTCTACCCATAAACAGTATAAACAAAATTATTGTCTTTTCAAAACATCAGACATTAACCACAGGAATGTGACACTTGCAACAAAATTCCTTATATGGTAAACTCTCCCAAAATTCCCCATTTGAATGTTCTGGTTTATCCAGGACCCCTAAACTTGTTGAACACATGGAAAACACTTCATGCTGAATATGAATGAAAAATACTGTTCATAAATTAGTTTAGTCGGTCAGAAAATACCAGCATACATTGTGTACAGTGGTCTGTTCTTAGACATTTATTATGAACAAAGACAATATTGTCTCTGTAAATAAAGTAGTATCAAATACTCAAACCTAACTATTTCAACAGGTGAAAGTATGTTTAAATCTTACAAGCCTTATTTGTCAGTGTAAAATCAATTTCATTCTATCGTCTACAGTACTTTAGTAGATTTGTTGATCAGTAGGGGCCAGCGAACAGCATTCACTTGTCATTTTCCATTATCTAGTTGTCTGTGTCAACACCGGAGTAAACACTAGCCCCTGAATATCCATCCTATCAAGAGTTCTACTGAGTAGGGCTCAAGAGGGGAATAAAGTAGAGCCAGTCATATATTAAGAACAAGATTGTATCATGCAAACATTTGGCATGCACAATACTTTTTTTTTATTCCTAGTATTTAATATTCACGATACAGAAACATGTGAGGGTAATAATCTTTTTATCACATAAAACATTCTTCCCGAGGCAATTGAGTTAACTGACTATAAAAGTCCAGTTTCCATCCTTGCCGAACTAGGCTGGAATTCCTGGGGTCGATCGTAGCGCCACCAGTGGCTATTATGAGTTATGTCCCTTCTATGCCTCTCCTATTGACCAATCAGATTCAACCTCTCGTATCACTTGCATTTGCTTCAAACAAAATGGTGGCGCCCAGTCAAGACGATCTGATTGATAATCAAGATCTATATTGTGATAAAACGAGTCTTACATCGCGAAGTGCATCAAATCGCGTGAGCACCTTGATTAAAAGCATGAAAAGATTTAGAAAATATCTGTTGACAACGAGTAAGCGGTGAACATGCTTTGCAAATCCTGCAGTCGACCGAAATCTGCATGACACTTTACAAACCGGATTTCGATTTCAGTGCGCGATTTTGATTGGACTATGCATAGACTCGTTAGTCCAGCCAAAATGTAACTCCATAAAACCAGCCTAGTTCGGCAAGGGTGGAAACTGGACTTTTAAAGTCAGTTAACTCTCTTGCCTCGGGAAGATGCTCAGGAAGATGCCGACATATCGCAATACGTATTGCAATACAGATACCTGTATCGCAATATATCGCAACACAACTTTATTGCCAATACACTGCCCTAACAATAACCAAGTTTGTTTTCATGTCAATGATCTTCCAACTTCTAAATGCCTATGAGTGTTAACTGATAAGTTCTGAACCTCAGATAGAAGGAATTGAGTAATAGAAAAATCTTTCAACAAAAACTTCAAATGAGCAAATTGTTTCGTTGTGACAAGCCACTAAAATAAGCCGGGAGCTGAGCAGAGACCTTTGGAAAATAGACTTGAGAAACAAGCAGTGATTAAGTACTTGCAGAATTAATTGTTGTTTGGACAGCAATATAAAAGTTTAAAGGAGAAAGTCCTATGTACAGTGGAGAGAATTTACTTACAGAAGATGATAGCTGAGTAACGTTCGTAACAACATGGTGGGCAACGTCCACAGATCTGCTTCTTCGAAGGAATACCGATTTATCTGATCACAATCTGCATTAGTTACATGTGCACATCGCCCCTGGTTGATTTGTGTGTCGTGTGTTCCTGCCAGTGATACTGCAATCTATATCTAACTGCATCTGTGCACACATTCCCCAAGCACTGTGAGGCCTGTGTTTGGACAGATGCATACATTGAAGCAACCGCTTAGGCCACACTCACTGAATTTCTTGGTGTGTTTTTTCCATTATTCTGGTCAATATCCGAAGAGGTAGGCATGGTAAGGGGACAAGAAATATCTAAAAGAGCAAAGGTCTATATCTCTATATCTTTCTGAAATATTTGCAACATAAGATGTTAAATATTATAACACAATATTAAAAGATATACAAATCTCAAAGTTTAGATGTGATAATTTCTGTTTAAAGGTAGAGCTTGGAAGACAGTTACATTCCCCATAATGAACAATTCTGTGATTTTTTCCCAAAACTGTAAATATTTTGAAGATAAATCCCATGTGATGAGAAACATGCCAACATAAGAAGGAGACTCTCGCCAAAAACCGAAATCCTATTGTTGCATTGTGTTATCGTATTGAACATAGACTGTACTATGAATACCTTAAGCAACTTTCAGCTTCATGCACACTTTGTTTGAGGTGAGATGTCAAAACGTATACATGGTATAGTGAAAACCAGAAAGTCAGGGGGATGTGAAAGAAAGGTGAATTTTCTATTATTATATATACAGTAGAACACGGATATAACAAACACAGATAGAGCGAACAGACGGATACAACAAACTGTTACAAAATCCCCAATTTATCTCCTATATATTATCAAATAAAATGTACGTATATTACGGATTCTCTACAGAGAACTAATGTATATAGCGAACTGATATCTGATCCCCGACATGCCCAAATGCCAAAAATTAGTAACATGTATTGCGGACTGAGAAATCTCACTCAGTGTCAAGTGTCACTGACAATTGTCTATACCCAATCAGCAGCGAATCAACACAATCACGACAAATCAACACAATCAATTTATCCAAGATGGCAGAAGTTTCCAGCGAAAACGTATAAAACAAACTGATTTCTCTTGTCCCTTGTAGTTCATTATATCCATGTTCTACTGTATTTTCTTTCTGATATTAATCTGAAAACAATAGTGTCTTTGAAGCAGAAAGAAAGTAGTTCCGGCAAAAGAGACAGTTTCACTTGAAATAATATCAATTATATTTTTGGGGGATAGATACACTATCTTATCACTATTTGATAAACAAATAATTTATTATTCTGCATTCCAGATACGTGCTCTATATCCACTGTCATGCAGGTCAGACACTTTCAAAAGAAGCTGTATGAGTAATGGGCAAGAATGACATATTTAGTGTGGCAGCAATGTCCATGAGATCATATTCGATACAGTAGCACTGCGGTGGACTAATCCAAGCAAAATTTCAGCTTCATAGACATTATGGCTTCAGAGAAGATGGTGAAAATTCACACTGTTAACATAACGGATGCATGTTCTATAAACCCTCGGGGCGGTGAGGTAGCCTAGTAGTTAAAGCATCAAGCCAAAGACCCGGGTTTGATTCCCCACAAAGGTACAATGTGTGAAGCCCATTTCTGGTGTCCCCGCCATCATATCACTGGAATATTGCTATAAGTGGCTTAAATCGCAAATCTCGTGCTTACTTACCATACACCCTAAATCCAATACTATTAACAAAATACATTTGTAATTTTTTTATTCAGAAATAATTTATTGAAGAATTAACAATCCCACCAGCTGGAGATAATGGGTGTTGTTTTGTTGAAAAAGCAGCAAGAATATGGCATTCAGGCTGATGCTCCAACCAGGAACATGTCGATGTAGACGGGACGCGAGTTTCAAGCACGGAGTTTATGCTGATTGTGTGTCACAAGGGGATAGTATTATGGGATACCGTACTGAATGCGTTACACTAAGAATAGTAAGGGGTTTTCCCTCGCTCATGTAAGGTCCGCGTTTTTAGTCCTTCACCAGATATGACGTATTGTAATGACATCATGTTATGATGCAACAAGGGTTGATATATTTGATGTCAAAAGACACGAAGGTGAGATTTTATTTATCATCCAACATCATTCTTTCAGTTTGTAGACAGTAATAAGCAGTGTCTTAAATTCAGTTGCAGAGCCATTACTGATGTCATTTGATTGTGACATCATGGTAACCACTGGCATCACAATGGTCTGCAAAGCACTGTGATGCAATTTCATTGCAGCGATATCAACAATGTAGATATCTCCTGTGGACGGCTGTTTTGGATGATAAATTACAATGTGTATGTTATTATTAGCGGTATGTGTCAGAGGACGAGTTATGTCCTTTTTTGACGGATTTGGTTGGTTGGTTTGTTGTTTAACGCCGCACTCAGCAATATTCCAGCTATATGACGGCGGTCTGTAAATAATCAAGTCTGGACCAGACAATCCAGTGATTAATATCATGAGCATCGACCCACGTAATTGGTATCGATGACATGCATCAACCAAGTCAGTGAGCCTGACCACCCGATCCTGTTAGTCACCTTTTACGACAAGCTTATAAACCTATTCATTGGGATTGCTATTAAGTAAGAGACTTCTTTCAATAGGCATTAAAACCTATTGTGAGGTTTAAATCTCATAAAGAGGGACGTTGTAACGTCCCTGGGATTTTATATAATATCCCTGGGATTTTATATAATATCCCAGGGATTTTATAGGATATTCAAGTCATATTTGCTATAAAATCCCAGGGATTTTATATAATGTCTTGGGTATTTTATTAATGTAACTTCTGTTCAGATTGTAACATGTAATGAAATGTAAAATCAAACGACAAATGTTTTCTTTATAATCCCGAGGATCGAACCCGCAACCTTCATATCTGTAGCCCAGTGAGTGTACCACGAGGCTACAGAGGTGTTGATAAGCCACACTGGTTTTTAGAATGTCCTTGGAGTTTTTCCACTTTTATCAACTCGTGTTGATATATTTTATATCAAAAGACATGAGGGTGAGATTCTCTATTTATGTCACTATGTCAGAAATGAATTGATATGTTTTTCTGAGTGTTTGTTTCTGTTTGTTTGTTTGTTGTTTAATGCTGCACTCAGCAATATTCCAGCTATACGACGGTGGTCTCTAAATAATTGAGTCTGGACCAGACAATCCAGTGATTGACATCATGAGCATCAATCCATGCGAGTGGGATACGATGACGTGCATCAACCATGTTAGCGAGCCTGACCACCCAATCCTGTTAGTCGCCTTTTACATCAAGCATGGGTTGCGGAAGACCTATTCTACCCCGGATCTTCACGGGTCTGTTTTTCTGAGTGTGCTTCTGAACTGCAAATATCACAGATTAGGTATAAATATTGTTGTGTACATATAAGAGCAAAATATTTAGATTTGTTATTTCTAGTATTCGATGCTTATGCAACAGAAGCACACAACGTGAGTGAGTCGGGTTTAACTACTTTCTTTATAGAAATGTAATGACCTCCATCAGACGCTGTGATGTGTACCCGCGTAGTGATACACATCTGTATGTAGTCTGTAACACTGGGCTACTGTCTCACCTTGCTGATAATAATCCTGATTGTTTACAACACCACCATTCATTGAATCATTACAAAAGGGACGCAACTCTGCACAGCGAATTGAGGCGCCTTAGACGACTGGGCCACCTGTGCCCCCAAAATACATAAAATAATGAAAAAAGTATGCCAAAATTACATTCACTAAAAGACCATGTTGGGATCCTGGGTAAAAATTGCTCCACAGCAACCAATGCTGGTAGAAAGAGGCAACCAAACAGATCTGGTCGTCAGACTTGGTGCCTCGGTTGATTGCATGTCATCATAGCAAGTCAGTGTTATCTCTGCTCACAATATCAATCACTGGACTGTCTGGTCCAAACTCAATTATTTACAGGTTGCCAGCATAAGGACTCGATGTTCGGCCTTCCTGTGGAGATTCCAAGTACAAAATGTCCCAAGGACTCCATACTCGTCCTGGTGAGATTCCAAAGAAGTAGAGTATGTCTCAACAGGACCCGATACTCGTCCTGTAGAGATTCCAAGCAGAATATGTTTCAATAGGACCAAATGCTCCTCCTGTGGAGATTCCAGGAAGAATAAACAACTTTGCTAAGATTGCCTTACTTGAAAAACAGTCGGTTTTGACCAATATTCCAGGTCCGTTTTAGTGCTTGTCCGTTTTGACTGTTGCACATCGGGCACGTATGAACAAAAATATTTCCAGTTTGAAAAAGCAACAAGCAGTAATTAAGTCCTCAACATCAAAACTGACTGCCATGAAGGAAACTGTAATACACAAATCATTCAATATGACACTGACATTATATCTATAGCGCTTAATAATATAACACTGACAGTGACAGTGACACACAGGAACTCGATATTGCTCTTTGTAAAAATATACGCCCCCTATACTACATAAAAGATGTAGTATAGGGGGCGTATATTTTTACAAAGAGCAATATCGAGTTCCTGTAATATGTAGTATAGGGGGCGTATATTTTTACAAAGAGCAATATCGAGTTCCTGTGCAGTGACACTCTCAAAGTAGCAGCTAACACTGCTAATAATTGTACTGTGTATGCATACAAACCTTTGGGGTTGACCTGGTTGTCTTCTCTCGTCGTACTATGTACTTCTTATTTCGCTTAATATCTCACATATACATCAAAACATGTCAATTGCGTGTAAACACTAACAACCTCGTGGTGACCTTTCCCAAGGCCACAGGAAGTGCACACCTCCACTTTCCGCGATTTTTATTGGATGAATTGATGTTGGTTATTAATAGCTCTAATAAACAAACCCACGTGGTAGAAATCCAAATACCAGGTTTGTATGTTTGTTTGTTTGTTTGTTTATTGTTTAACGCCGCACTCAGCAATACTCCAGCTATCTGGCGGCCTGACCACACGATCCCGCTAGTCGCCTCAAACGACAGGCCTGGGTTGCTAAAGATCTTCACGGGTCCAAATTGCAACTGATTGTGAACTCAAAGAAAAATGTTGTTCAGTT